TACTACGACTACTACTACAGCATGCCCGTGCTGTCGCGGGTGGGATAGCGCCAGAGTGGGGCACCACCCCAAGAGGAGAGTTCGAGAAAACGGCGACTGTCGTCCTACCCTCCAGTCACCCTTGCCGCATAGCGGTCCCATATACTGCACACCCCATGTGGTGTTGAGACAAGGCCACGCCTGCCAGCCTGTGAGCCATGGCCCGCATAGCGCCCCACCCCCCCGCGACCCCCCTTGTGGTGTCGAGACAATCCTGCGAATGCGGATGGCCCGATTAGCGCCCCCCCCCCCCCCACACATACTGCACACCGCCTGTGGTGTCGAATTATTCGCCACGCTTGCTAGCCTGTGCGCCATGGCTCGCATGACCCCCCCCCTGCGACCCCCTTATGGTGTAGGAAAAATGCAGCCGCGCATGCTAGCCTGTGAACCATGGCCCGCATGACGCCCCCACCCACTGCACACTCCTTGCGGCGCCGAGAGAATGCAACGCCCGCTAGCCGCTGAGCCATGGCCGCATAGCGCCCCCCACTCACTGCACACCCCCTGCGGTGTCGAGCACGTGCCACGCCTGCTGGAGTGTGGGCCATGGCCCGCGTGGTGACCCCACCACTTGCACACCGACTGTGGTGTCGAGCACATGCCATGCCTGCTAGCCTGTGAGCCATGGCACGCATGGCGCCCCCACCCACTGCACACCTGCTGGTGGTGTCGAGCAAATGCCACGCCTGCTGGCCTGTGAGCCATGGCCCGCATAGCGTCCACACAGCCCGTGACCTTCTCTTGTGGTGTCGCAAGGATGTCACGCCTGCTAGCCTGCGAGCCATGGCCCGCACAGCGTCCCCCACCCACTGCACACCCCTTATGGCGTCGAGCAAGTGCCACGACTGGCAGCCTGTGGGCCATGGCCCGCATAGCGACCCCACCCACTGCACACCCACTGTGGTGTCGAGCAAGTGCCGTGCCTGCTAGCCTGCGAATAATGTCCCGCATGGCGCCCCCCCCACACACTGCACACTCCTTGTGTCGAGCAAGTGACACGTTTGTCAGCCTGTGAGCCATGGCCCGCATGGCGCCCCTCACCCGCTTCGACCCCCCTTGTGGTGTCGAGAAAATGCTACGCCTGCTTGCCTGTGAACCATGGCCCGCATGGTGAGCCCACCCCCTGCGAGCCCACCCACTGCGACCCCCTGGCGGTGTCGAGCAAGTGCCGCGCCTGCCAGCCTTCGAACTATGGCCCGCACGGCGCCCCCATCCACTGCACACCCCCTGCGGTGTCGAGCAATGCAACGCCTGCTGTCCGGTGATCCGGGTCCATGGCGAGTCCAACGCATATGTGTTGTGTAGTGTGTGTGTGTGTGATGTGGGTGATCCTGTGCGTTCTGTGAAATGCGTCGTGCCATCGCCTGTTGCTTGTACGCCTGAATGTGGACGTTCGAATCATGTGGAGGGCGTGTATGTGTTGCGTGCGCATGGTGTGTGTGTGTGTGTGTGATGCGTGAACAAAAGATATACGTGTGCGGCTGTATGTAGACGCGTGTATCATGTAGGTGCCGTGCATGTGTTTCGTGCGCGTGGGAGGAAGAAGGAAGAGGAGGAGAGGAGCGGGGAGATGTGAGACGCAGTTGCGACGCGGGTGGGACGAAATCCAGAACCCCACGATGCATGTGGGGAAACAACTTGAGGAACTGTATCGCAGAGGTCACACAGCAATCGCTTCCCCTGTGGTCGGGGACTTTTGCTTAGCGTGTCGCGGCAGCGGCTCCAGCGACACGTTATGCCCTGCAAGCGGATAGCGTGTCGCTCCGCTGCGCGAGGTGGGAGGCCGGGAACAGCTCGGGACGTTGGCACTCGGCGACCGCGACGTGGATAGCGTGTCGCGCCGGGGCGTGGTGGGCCAGAACCGGCGGAGCAACACGCTGAGCCGAAGCCCCTGACCGTATCCCAGTGTCTCCAGGTCCTGGTAACGAGCCCGACAGCCCCCGCAGAGCCAGACCCGACTACACGTAAGATTGACCCTGGGCAAGAGCGACCTTTGGCGCGCGGCTTTTTGGGGGCCGCGGGGGGGCCAAACACGCGCGCGCAAGACGCTACTGCCGCATCGCGTTCTTCGATCGGGGGACCCAGTGGGCCCGCACCAAAGGTCACTCCGGCGAAAGGTCACTCTTATGTGTAACCCCTCGCCCAGAGGAGTCGACTCTCGGACCTCTCGGACCTGTGCAGGAGGGCGACTGTCGCGCTGATTGGCCTCTGCTGCCACCGCTCGTGCCGCTCCCATATTACACGCCCCTACAATCAAAACGTATAATTCTTAACCACGGATGGTAAGGACGCAAGACCCCTGGAGGCCGAAGTTGGGGATGTCTGGGCGCGGGCGACCAATGAAAACGGCAGAGGACCGGCCGCAGAGGCAAGGACACAAGGGCACCCTGGATGAAGGCGCGCGTCCTTACTAGGCGCGTTGACTGTACCTTCACTCAACCCACCCCGCACCTGCGCATCACACGATGAGGTCATTCTTGGGAATCCACGCATGTTCCCCGCGTGGGAAGAAGCACGACGGGAGGCTTTTTGCCGTTTTCGGTTTCTGGGGGCCCTCGCCAGGCCTCAAGACTGCCAAGAAACGACACGGGCTGGAAAACCGGTCCGGGGGTAAGGGTCGGGACGTGGGCCCGCATTGTAAAATTAGCCGGACGAAGGACCCAACCATATGTAGCTGCGAGTGCCGCATTGTGAGTACCGCTTCCGGTGGAGCTCCCTATGGGGAACCGAAGCGTGCGAGGGGTGCGCGGAAATCGGTGGCGCGGACGCATGCGGACCCTGCCACTGGAGCCTTCGGTGGAGCTGCCTATGGGGCCACGAAGTGCTGTCCTGCGTGGCGTTGACGCATGCGGACATTGCCACTGGAGCCTTCGGTGGAGCTCCCTATGGGGCCACGAAACGCTGCCCCGGGTGGCGCTGACGCATGCGGACACTGCCTCTGGAGCCTTCGGTGGAGCTCCATATGGGGCCACGAAGCGCTGTCCTGGGTGGTGGTGACGCACGCGGCGGACACTGCCACTGGAGCCTTCGCTGGGGCTCCGTATGGGGCCATTGAGCGCTGTCCTGCGTGGCGTTGACGCATGCGGACATTGCCACTGGAGCCTTCGGTGGAGCTCCCTATGGGGCCACGAAACGCTGCCCCGGGTGGCGCTGACGCATGCGGACACTGCCTCTGGAGCCTTCGGTGGAGCTCCATATGGGGCCACGAAGCGCTGTCCTGGGTGGTGGTGACGCACGCGGCGGACACTGCCACTGGAGCCTTCGCTGGGGCTCCGTATGGGGCCATTGAGCGCTGTCCTGGGTGGCGGTGACGCATGCGGACACTGCCACTGGAGCCTTCGGTGGAGCTGCCTATGGGGCCGCGAAACGCTGTCCTGGGTGGCGTTGACGCATGCGGACACTGCCACTGGAGCCTTCGGTGGAGCTCCCTATGGGGCCGCGAAACGCTGTCCTGGGTGGCAGTGACGCATGGGGGCCCTGCCACTGGAGCCATCTGTGGAGCTCCCTATGGGGCCGCGAAACGTTGTCCTGGGTGGCGGTGACGCATGCGGACCCTGCCACTGGAGCCATCTGTGGAGGTCCCTATGCGGCCACCCAACGCTGTCCTGCGTGGCGGTGACGCAGGCGGGCACTGCCACTGGAGCCTTCGGTGGAGCTACCTATGGGGCCATTAAACGCTGTCCTGGGTGGCGCGGACGCATGCGGACCCTGCCACTGGAGCCTTCGGTGGAGCTCCCTAAGGGGCCACGGAACCCTGTCCTGGGTGGCGGTGACGCATGCGGACCCTTCCACTGGGGCGTTCGGTGGAGCTCCCTATGGGGCCATTGAGCGCTGTCCTGGGTGGCGGTGACGCATGCGGACACTGCCACTGGAGCCTTCGGTGGAGCTCCCTATGGGGCCGCGAAACGTGTGAGGGGTGTCCCATAATGGGTGGCGGTGACGCATGAGGACGCAACCACTCGCGCCTTCGGTGGAGCTCCCAATGGGGCCACGAACCGTGTGAGGGGTGTGCCGTAATGTGGCGGTGACGCATGCGGACGCAACCACTCGCGCCTTCGGTGGAGGTCCCTATGGGGCCACGAACCGTGTGAGGGGTGTCCCGTAATGGGTGGCGGTGGCGCATGAGGACGCAACCACTGGGGCGTTCGGTGGAGCCACCTTTGGGGCGCCGAATAGGGTGGCGGTGACGCATGAGGACGCAGCCAATGGGGCCTTCGGTGGAGCTCCCTATGGGGCCACGAACCGTGTGAGGGGTGTGCCGAACTGACGATGATGGTGATGATGATGACGATGATGATGGTGACGGTGATGCTGATGATGGGGAGAGAGAGAGAGAGAGGGGGGGCAGCGGGAGGAAGGATGCGGGCGCTGTCTGTTCAAAACGAGGACTGAACACCACAGGATGATTGGGAAAAAGAAAACAAATCGCATGTCAGGGCAACCTCACTCCTCGACAGCATCCTCCTGCTCCCCATCCCCCCCTCACCCTCCTCCTCCTCCAGGTTCCCGTCCCTTATCCTCCCACGAGTTCCAAGAGGGCCCATTAATGATTTGAGAGGGGGTGCTCCTCCTCCTCCTCCTCCTCCTCCTCCTCCTCCTCCTCCTCCTCCTCCTCTTCCTCGTCGTCCTCCTCCTCCTCCTCGTCCTTCTCCGCCTCCTCCTTCACGTTCCCCCTCCTCCTCCTCCTCCTCCTCCTCCTCCTCCTCCTCCTCCTCCTCCTCCTCCTCCTCCTCCGCCTCCCCCTCCTCCTCCTCCCCCTCCTCGTCGTCGTCCTGGCGTCCCCCATTGTGCCGCCCTCTCGGGGCTGCGTAAAAACCTTTTTGTTTGGCCCCAGGGGCCGTCAAAAAGCGACTCTGGGCTGAGAAGCCGGTGCCCAGGAATGCTCCAGACCTATGGGGAGCCACGCGTAGGCCAAGGGCGCGACGTCGGTGCCCCGTGGCTGTGCGCGGGGCCGGCGCCTGGGGGCACGCACGCCTGCCAGATCTGGTGCCTCGCCCAGCGCAGCATGAGTCCTCGGGGCGGAGGTGCCCAGGCGGCACCCCTCGGGCGACGAGCGCGGTCCACGCTCGACGCTATTGACGCCGAGGGTGCTGGTAAGATTCGTGTCCACGTCCCCTGCGTCTTCGACTTCCTGGGAGGGCGCGCCAGAAGGCCGAGGCGCAGCGGATAGGGATAAAAATCGAGCTTCTAATGGCCAGATTTTCATCCAGATCCACTGCGCCTCGGGCGTCCAGGGACGGGAGCCCGAACTCCAAGATGCAATGGGTATGGAGCTCCATCCTGCTCGCTCCCGGGGCCGCTTCTCGGGCCCCCAGGGCAGCCAGAAATCGGCCTGGCATGAACATCTGGCCCAGGCTGACCCTGGGGTCTGGGGGCCCGATCTCGATCGGAGAGAATTAAGTACGGGGGACTCGGGTTGGCCTGACGGGGGCATCATAACAATGACGAGACCCAATCAGAAATTTGACGCGAACTCCTGCTGCAAACATCCCACGAAAACTGGACCGTCAAATCCAAGACGCGATCGTCAAAAACGTCGGCAAATTCAACTTCTGGCTTACTCAAATCTTACGTTTCCCCGACTCGAGTGGCCGACCCAGGTGTCGCAATGAAGTCGAAGGGGAGCCGACTCTCTTTAATCCCCTCCCCGCCGCGGGAGTGGATCTTAGGAGGGGGTGCGGGGAGTGGCCTGCGGGGGTCCTGCACGGGGGGTCCCGCAGGGGCCGTGCCGCCCTGGATGATCCCACCGCACCGGTACTAGTCTCGGCAAGCTCGGCCTCAAGTAGACATGACCAGATGCCGTCACGTGCCCGGCGAAAGCTTCCGCATTCCCCCATGGCCCCAGCGACCCGTAGAAACGCTGGGACGCCGTTGGGATGTCTCGTGGCGCATGGCCGCTGTGCCCCTGCATTTACTGACACGGCAGGGTCTCCTCTCGCAGGCATGCGCTGCAGGAGGCACCTGCCCGAGATGCGGCACGGCCTCTCTCGGCCGCGCGAGGCGCCCGAAGGGATGTCTGGAGAGGACCGGGGACAGGCGTGCGCCGAAGGGCGGACCGAGCCTGGAATGTATGGGGGCCAGAGGGAGGAGGGGGACGGAGGGAGGAGAGACACGGATGAACGAGGAAGAAGAATGGGCATGATTTCCAATGCGTTTGCACAGCTTCGGGCTCCCACGTCGGACGGGAGCTCTCGCTGTGCATACTGGAGTCAGTGCAGCTCGAGCCCGCCTCCAGAGGCCTGCGTGCTCAGACGTGTCTCACTTTTCGATGTTCAGGCTAGCAACGTGCACCGCCACCTGTACATGCGCGTATGGGATAAGACGCTAGGGCAACTTCACGTGCGCACGATGTTGGAGGCTGTGGCCAAGAAGGACGGACGATCACGACGTAGAATACGATGGACGCTCCCCAGCCACGCTGCATCTCTTCGCGAAAACTTCCAGCTGCTCCACAAAGGCAGGGTTCGGCGACACCCGAGGTCGGTGATGCTGCAAGTAGCTGATGACGTCCTGAACTTCTGTGATTCCACACGGCAGCTGGACTCTGCCAAATGAGAAACAATATGGGCGGAATTACATAATATACGCGACGATGATCGTGGCGCTTCGGCTTTGTCCGTGCTTGCAGTGGACGAACACGCGATGATGTGGACTCTCCTGAATGGCGGTGTGCATGAAGTCCACTGCGGCATCAACATACGAAGATATGTTGCATGCGTCGTCGGCAATATCAGTGGCAGGAACTCTCATGTTGCGTGTTGCACAAAGTCCAGTACTGCATGCGAAGGGGAGGTCCGCAGTGCAGTTCACCGAATGCGTGATTTGCATGCCCCTGATGGTATGAGCACCGCAGGCCACACCGAAATTAGACAGGAAGACTTGAGGGAGCACATGGGAAGCATAGATGCGCCCTTCCTCGTAGCTGCCACTGTCTACGCATATGCATGGATATGCGTCCCTCAGCTGAGCCAACGGCGTCTGCAGGATGGCGAAATATTTGCAAACTGCTCTGCTGTCGTTCATGCGACTCTGTTGGGCGATTGGCCGCTTTGCTGGAAAGAGACGTAGAACCACATCAGCAAGTGTCCGGTAGGCGCTATCATCCTCCACCCCATAGGCCCCGAAGTCCACTTCAACGAGGCCATTCAGGCTTTCCAGTTTGTTACTTACAAAAGTAGTTGCTGGTCCAGGGTCTTCTTCGAGCTACCCATTGAAACTGGAATGGAACCGTCGATGGGTGGCAGTTGCGAGGCCTGAAGTCAAACATCAAGACGACGCGGCGAAGATCTTGCAACATGTTGTGTAGATCCACGGCCGATATCGCATCGCGACAATGACCGCCCCCTGGCGACACGCGTGTGCCCTTGATGTTCGACCCAAGCCAAACTCGACCCCAGATGCCTTGAGCCCAAATCTCACGGGCGAGCATAGGGGAACGAAGAGTGACATAGACATAAAAACTCGGAGGTCTGTGTAGATTTCTCGGATCGGCGCTGGACCCCCCTCCCTCGCGCGCGGAGCGCGCCAGGGGCGGCGCCGGTGGCGCCGCCAGGGGAGTCCAGCGCGGATCCAAGAAATCCGCGCGGACCTCCGAGATTTTTATTTTCATGTCATTGTTCGTTCCCCTAGAGCTGCTGTCCGTTGTTACCGATCGAACACCGACTCCGGACCCATCCACAGGTGCGTGCTGACTAGAACATTCCGGCGGCTGCCGCCGTGGCGACGAGCAGGCTCAAAAAGTACCCAAAATTTGCGAATTCCATGACAATGGACACTCTAACAATCCTATCATTGAATTAAATATGTGTTTACACTGATTCAATCATGATGTCCTAAACATGCTTCAAGCATGTTTTTGTACATGGTCGAAGCAATGTTTAGACATCTGGAACTTCTTTGGCAGCACGCTTTCTCTCCATTGATCGCCTTCCACAACCCAAACGCCCCAGAGCGTCGATCGCCGATCCTCTTTTGGCCCACGTGGCCCCCCCACCGCTGCGTTGCGTCCGCGCAGGCTCCGCTCTCCTCCATCGCCGCAAGCCGCCCGTACACAGCGATGATGCATCCAGCGCGCAGCCCCTACCATAGGGGAACGAACAATGGCATAAGCATAAAAATCTCGGAGGTCCGCGCGGATTTCTTGGATCCGCGCTGGACTCCCCTGGCGAAGCCTCTGGCGCCGCCCCTGGCGCGCGGAGCGCGCCAGGGAAGGGGGTTCAGCGCGGATCCAAGAAATCCGCGCGGACCTCCGAGTTGTTATGTGTATGTTATCTTTCGTTTCCCTATACAAAATGACATGTGTCACGTAATCATGGAAGTTCGCTCCAGAAGATCTGTTCATAGAGGAGGCTGCCGCGAAGCCGGCACCGCCGTCCTGGCTCCATCTGCTTCGCGGACGGGAAGCACAGCCTGAGCGCGTCTCGATCGAGAAGAAGGCGAGGGGGACGACTGGGCCGAGGAGCAGAGATGCGGCGCAGGGCCCCGTCGCAAGGATCCTCGTGCTCCACCTCGCCATCCTCCTGACCTCTCCCCATCCTTCTCTCCCTCGCCCTCCCTGAAGATCCTCCTTCCTGGCCCTGCCCCCCCCACATCCTCCTCCAGCTCCCTCTTTCTACTCGTCCTGCATCCCTCCGTCCGTCCCTCACTCCTCCCCATTCTTCCATCCAGCCTCCCTCCCTCCTCCTTCCCTCCATCCTTCCGCCTCCTCATCCTCCTCCTCCTGACTCTTCCTTCGCATCCTGCTTCTGCCGCTTTTACTAATGCGCCTTACTCCTGCCTGTCCCGCTTGTCCTGCTGCTGATGTTTTTCCTCCTCCTCCACCTCTTGCCCCCCCATAGGCTGCTCCCGTGCACGCTGAAGTTCCAGCCATGGACATTCTGGCCAACATGCCCCAGAACTGTGCGGTGCGAGCTGAGGAGGTGAAAACTGCGTCGTGTGAGCTATGCGGTGTGAGCCATGCCGGGGCAAACTGTGCGGCACGGGGGGACGGTGTGGCGATTCCTTGGCGGACGCACGCAGCGCGCGAGGCGGCACCGGGGCGGCCACGGGCGGCCACGTGACGAATCTTCGGCGGACCTCGGCGGGCGGCAGCGGGCGACAGCGTGGAGAGAGCCCTCGGCGGCCCTCCACGGGCGGCCTCCACGGGCGGCAGCGTGGCGAACCCTCGGCGGACCCCCGACGGGAGGCCACGGGCGGCACGAAGCCTCGGCGGAGCCCCACGGGTGGCAACGTGGCGGCACCGTGGCGAAGCCCCGGCGGACCCCCACGGGCTGCACCCGTGTGGTGCGGCAGCGTGGCGCATCCGCGGCAGACCCCAGCAGGCGGCAGCGTGGCGAGTCCCCCGCGGACCCCACAAGCGGCAACGGGTGGCAACGGGCGGCATTGTGACGAATCCTCGGCGGACCCCGCAGGAGGCAACGGGCGGCAGCGTTGCGAGTTCTCGGCGAACCGATCCAATTCCGTAATGACACACGCAAGAGCCTCTATGTGCAAGCACTGTTTTGGGGAAATCTTGACAAGTAGTGCTGCACCCAACCTCGCTCCTCCCTCTGCCATCCTCCTTCATCCCCCTCCTCCGGTCTTCCTCTAGCCGAGTAGGCAATGGCCCTCCAACCAGAGGTGAACAATTCCTCGACCTTCCAATGACTGTCATCGTCGTTCAACCCCTCGTACTCTTCCTTATCTTTCTCCCACTACCCCTGCACAGTCCCTTTCCTCCGACTCTCTATTCATTCTGGATCCTCTCATCTTCCTCCTTGTCATCCTCTTGTTTCTCCTCCATCTGCCCCTCCCCCTCCAACTGCTGGTGAAGCTCCATCCCTTTCACTCATAATCCCTCCTCCCTGTCGCGGCAAGGCGGGCCGAACAATTCGCGTGGCACCCTCTCCCCACTTATGACTCTGAAACCTACAGCTTCCAACCGTTACAAAGATAGAGGCCGATACCTTTTCAAAATGCGGCTCTCGCCTTCGCGCCGCGCACATTCGTCCTAAAATCTTAGACCAGATACAACAATGAAGGGAAGCACGTCTTCGAAATGGGGCTCTTCCTTTAGTGCCCCGCATATTCGTCTGAAATACTTACAGTAGTCACACTGGTGGAAGGACATAATTTTCCAGCGTGGGGGTCTCGCTCGAGAATTCCTCGGACTTAACGGCCAGATGCTTACGTACCTAGCAGCTGCGCAGATGTAGAGCTATGTGTTTGTCAAAATGGCGCTCTCGCACGGGACTTCCTTGGAATTGATGGCCAGCAGCGCACCATTATGCCGCAACGGTCTTATGGGTGGGGGGGGAGGGAAGGCGGCTCCTTTCCGAAACGGGGAGCTCGCTGGATACCCCGCTTGGACTCCATGACTCGACCTTTCCGCAGTCCTCATGGCCCGCTGGCTACTATGTTCAATGGAAGAAAACCATATCCCGAAAAAACCCAGGACAACCCCCTGGACAACACGGACAACCCGGACAACCCCTCCCGGACAACCCCTCAGAACCCCCCCCTCGGACAAGCCTCCCCAGGATATTCTTCCATAGTATATAGCAGCTGCAAGGCAGTTCGTCTTCCAAGCAGTGGCCCCGCCCACATGCCTGGCCCACAGTGGCGGGATCGTCTCTCGAGGAGTTCCCGTTCGGCTCCCACGTCGTCCGCCGTCCGTCCCCTTCCGCCCCCACCCTCGCCTGCATCCCTCTCCTTTCGCCTCCTCCTCCTCCTCCTTTTCCTCCTCCTCCTTCTCCTCCTCCTCCTCTCCCCGCCGCCGCCTCCTCCTCCTTCTCCTCCGCCTCCTCCTCCGCTTCCTCCTCCTCCTCCGTCTCCTTCTCCGTCTCCGTCTCCTCCTCCTCCTTCTCCTCCTCCTCCTCCGGCTCCGTCTCCGTCCCTTCCTCGCCCTCCTTCTCGACACCGGCGGAAAACAGTCGTGGAGGCGGCGCGGGCTTCGGAACGGCCCGTATCACTCCTGAGAGCGACGCGGCGCGGAGGCTGTCTCTGCGCGGGCAACCCTGAAGGTCCCCGGAGGCCCTCCCGAGGTCTCCAGAGACCCAGACGACGAAAACTGCCAAGCAGTCGGCCACCACCGAATTAGATCCCCAGCCCCTGGGGAGGATGGGAACAAGGCTGAGGCAGACGCATCGAGCCCATTGGCCATTGCTGGTAAAACGCGATAGCGATGAGGAAGTGGATCGTGCCCACTAAAAACTGAGGATGGCCATGCTACGAATAGAAATGATACTGGTACCACCAATAATGCGAATCCACATAACAATAGTACGAGTCATAACCGTAATAACACATAATACACAACAACAAAACAATACAACCAGTACGAACAACTATACTAACACGAATAACGATACGATCAATAACATATACGTATGATGATGAAACAGACAATGATGTGGATGATGATGAGGAGGAGGAAGAGGACAACGAGGAGGAGGAGGGGACAAAGAGTTATGAGGAGGAGGAGGAGGAGGAGGAGGAGGAGGAGGAGGAGTTAATGCACCCTGAAAGAGACGAGAAGAGGGCAATCGGGCACGAAGCGAAACGAGGGTAAGTGATGTTCGTCCGCAGCGCCCGTCGCTAGCTCTCTCACCTATAGAATAGTGCTTTGGCAGCTCGGCTCGCTGCGGCCATCGCCGCAGGGCGTGAGCTCGGGTCAGCGTGATGCTTCATTTTGTTATAGATGGGAAACGCTAACGTGATGCGCTCAACCGTCGAGCGCAACGAAAGGGGATTCTGACTCTCGGGCGGGCACGCAGCTGCGGGCCCCAGGCCCCAGGCTGCTAGCGTCGAACGAAGGAGGGGGGGATCAGGGGACCAGAGGAGGCCCGAAAGCGAGGGGCAGGTGAGGTAGTGGGGAAATGAATCTGGCTGGCTCCCGCACCCGAAACTGGATTGTTTGGGGGCAAGCACGTGCGTGCGGCCAGTGGTTGTCCAGCCACCGCTGAATGTCTCAAGGGTAGCCCAGCGCCAGCTGGGGCGCACCGTTTTGAACGAGTCCGCGCGCGCTGGCAAGCGCTTTTGCAGCTCTCGTGGCGCCGTCGGCGCCTGGAGGCCCCAGGCCGAGATGCGCTTGAGCAGAATGACGGTCAACGGCGAGGCGAAAGCTTGCTCTGCAAGCTTGCGTGCAAACGTGCGCTGGTATTTCGGGCGACGCGGCGGGGCGGCAGCTGCGGCCTCGCGCTGTTCGAGGCGAGCGTTGTGCAAAGCGGCTGAGACGGCTGGGCGGGCGAACGGTTTCTGAGGCTGGGCTCCGAGGAGGGAGAGATAGTGCTGCACGATGGACTGCTGAGACGACCAGAAAGCGGGCGACCACGCGCCAGCCTGCCAGCAAGACGCGTCATGAAGGGAGGTTTCCTCCCATGATGCGTCGGCGAGGCGATCGGCAAACGGCCCCCAGTCACCCGCGAGAGTGACGGCAGCAGAACGGGCAGCGGCAGCGACAGATGTGACCTGAGCGGACTGTGGGACAGGCGGCGGGCTCCACCACGCCATGGCTATGAAATCAACATTGCGAAGTGTTTTCGACGGCAGGCTCGGCGTCCCATGGGAAACATACTTTTCACGGCGGGCGAACAACGGCTGAAGCGGAAAGAACTGGGCGACATAGCTGAGCGTGGACAGGACTGAGGTATTGTAAAGGCAATCTGTGGCGTCACTGCCACTCTGCACTAGGTGTAGAGGGTTTCCGCGTTGCCACCATTTTTGCTCTGGTGCGAGCCACTGCGAAGCCAGCGAGGCCTCGGGGCCGAGGAACGTGCCGAGGTATTTGGCACTCCCCGCAACCGAGAAACCACCCCAGGAAGGTCCGAGCTCGGCCAAAAGGGTCTTTCTTTGGGCAATGGTGTCTGGGGTCGCCGCGGCCCAGAGCGGAACGATGAAACATTTGCGAGGCTTAAGCGAGAGGAGCGCAAGCTCCTCGGCTGCGGCAAAGGGCTCAGATGCGCGGCGCATCGTGTCGAAGGTGCATGTCAGCAGCCCGGTGTCGTCCGCGCAGGCGCCGAGGTAACCGGCGCCCAGATTCGGCGCGCCGTCGTGGTGCTCCACAAACGCGGCGAGATGGCGGATGAGCGGGTCCACGGTGCGGGCTCAGGCCGAGCCCGAAGCAGGACAGCCCTGCGCAACTCCAGACTCTATGGCGAACATGGCGTGCCTGACGCCGTCGATCTTGAGGTAGCTGTTCGGCGCAAGCTACAGCGCACGGCAGAGGTTCATGAGGACAGTCGGGATCCCGAAGTGCTCCAGCGCGGCGAAGGGCCAAACCCGCCCCAAGGACGGGAAGGCGGCAGAGAAGTCGAAGCTCGCGAAGACGGGCTTGGCTTGAAGCGCTCCAGGGAGTAGACCTGCGCGCCGCATCACTGAGTCGAAGCGAACGATGCGCTTGGTAACGTTGCGCTTCTGCACGAAGCCCTGTTGTGCTATGTGGGTGCGCTCTGCAACAGCACCCTTGATGAGGTAGTTGGCTGCCCCAACGATGGCCTTTATGTCAGGGTTCTTCAGCGAGAGCGGTCGGGTATCTTCAGGTTGCTCGGTCTGTCGTGAGTTCGCCAAAAGCTTTGTCGCCCTTCGGCGGGGGGGCGAAGTCGGAATCGCTCAAGTCGCGGATGTAGTACTGGCCAGAGCAGAGATAGAAGGACACGTCCTCCAGGAGGGTCAGCGAGGCATCGTGCGCGAGCCAAGCGGAGCGCGGCAAGCAGCCGGGTCCTGGTGCTGACGGCGAAGTGCGCTGCAGGAAGGCCTTGATATGCGGCTTCGCGGGGGTCCCAATGTCCAGGGCCTCGCCCTGCGGCATGCGCGTGTGGATGTAGTTGGTGGCCCTGGTCTCGTCGACGGGCTTGGCGGCGAAGACGGGCTGCCAGTGGTCGCGCAGGGCGGTGGCCATCGAGCGACTTTCTCTCGCTATCTTGGGCCCGTCTGGGCCCGTGACCTTGGTTCCCTGGAGGGCGATGCGGCGCTTCCAGGGAGACCAGAGGAGAGCCCGACGCTGGTCGGTCCGAAGGACCTCACGGAGTTTCTCAGGGTCCAGGGCGCCAGCGCGCCCCTCAGGGCGCTGTGCGGCTTGCTGCGCGAGAGAGAGTTGCCGCGCCTCGAAGTCGCGGTTGAGCTGCGCAGCCAGGCTGGCAAAGACGGCAGGCTCGTCGATCGCGATGATGCCGTCGGAGATGTTGAGCAACTTGGCGCCGAGCTCGGTCGCGGAGGCAACTCTGCGGGCCAATTGAAGGTCTTGGCGCCAAACGGCTCGCGGGATGGAGCGCATCGCGTAGACCCTGCCGGCCAGGAAGCCCGTCTTGTTGGCATCGCTGGTAGCCCGGCGGACCCAGTCGTCGCGAACCAGCTGGGCGGTCTCCGACATGAGGAGCCTTGTGGGTGCGCAAGCGGCTGCCCAGCGAGACGCAGTCGAAATTGGCGGCGTCCAGGAGCTCCTGGAAGTCGATGGCGTAATTCGGGTCGCGGAAGATCGACGGGGTGGATGGCCTGCTCGTCCTCCGGGGTGCGCGGCTTGATGCCGATGGAGAAAGTGATGATAGCGCGGTCGCTCAGGCGACTGTCCGAGAGCAGCGCGGCGTCGTGCACCGCGTTCGCGTGGATCGAGAGCTCCTGGGTGGCGCGCAAGGGCAGGCTGATGAAGATGCGGTCGATGGTCGCGGCGGCGAAGTCCGAGCGTTTGAAGCGCGCGGGGTGCTCGGTCTCGATCTCGAGCGCGGAGTCGAAGAGGGGCCACCAGAAGGGTTGCTGCTGGCGCACGCCGCTGTCCAGCGCAAGCCTGGCGCGCTGCGGCGGCGGCTGCAGGCAGCTCTGCGGCGGGCGGCCAGCTGCGTTGAAGCCCCCGATCGCGGTGGAGGTGCGCATGCGGTTGTTAGCCTCCGCCCAAGTGCGATGCAGCTCCCAGGGCCGCTGGACCTTGCGGCGGCCGGCGTCGGCGATCTCGTGATCGTGCACATTCATAAGGACCAAGGTGGCATGCGTGACGGCGCGCGTGACGGCCGCCAGCTGGACGCGACCAGGAACGAGTTCTTCATGGGCGAATAGCGGGAGCTGGTTCGGTCGCAGCTGCTCGAGCTCCATCGGGGTAAACCAAGGGATGAGCGCGGCGACGCCGCCCGTGGCATTCGGGTTGTCGCCGTTGTCGTGCGAGAACTCAGAGAAGAAGAGCCCGCACGGGGCACGGCTGCGTGTCGACCCAGGTGCGGAGCAGAGCCTCCGGGCCGTGGACCTCCTGCAGTGTGATGACGCACTTGCGCTTCATATGCTTCGCAAGGGCGGCCTGCTTGCGACGGCGGCGCTTGCTCTTTGCTGCATGAGCTGGAGTAGTTTCTTTGTTGAACTTCGGTGCCGATCTGCTTGGGCGACTTGCCCGGGCTGAGGTATATGTCGCTGTGCTGTCCAGCAACGGCTGTCGACGTAAATCTTTTCCACTTCCCAGCGGCGTCTTGGAGGGCGCGCGACAAGGCAAGGGCGCGAGGGACTGCGACAGCTTTAGCTCCTTTGACTTGTAGTATGAAGCGGCGAGCAGGTTCGCCACCGAGAAGTTCGACGTGGCTTGACTGTAAGTTGGCGGCGCGATCCACTCCTGGAGGCCGCTGGGCAGCAGGTCTGGCGCGATAAGGCGTTGGCTTCCGATCGTGAAGAGCGTCGGGTCGGGCTGTCTGTCCCATTCGGCAAGGCGGCTGAGGCCGGCGATCGGCGTCTGGGCTTCGGCGAGGGCGAGCGTGTCGCGCATCTGGTCGATCTGTTGCCACACGCGTTGATGTTCAGCAGCTTGGCGGTTTTGTTCTCTGCGAGTGCGGGGAACTTCGTCGTGTGGAACGTCAACTCTGCGTTCGGTAGCGGTGACTTGTCGTTGAACGAAGTGTCTGGAACTTCCGCGAGATTTGGCGAGTAGCTGGTCGGCTTGAGCTTGAAAACGAGTAGCGGCTGCAGCGACTTGTCGATGCATAAGTTCACGAAGGGCGACGTCCAGATCTCCAGGAATTCCAGGAAGCGGTTCATTTCGCTCAGCAGGTGTAGGGTGCTGCTCTGGACGAGGTGCGGCGAGTCCAGGAGCTGGTGCGGCTTGTGCGGCTTGTGCGGCGGCAAGCTCTTGAGATGGAAAGGTCGGTGCCAGCTCGATGTCACGCGCGAGCTGTGGGCCGAACCTTCTTATGGCCCACGGGTCGGCAGCGCCCAGGAGCGGGTCAGCAGGAGGATGACCAGGCGGTGGCATATCTTCACTTTCCATGGCCACGGGGGCGGCTTCGGCAGCGGCACGGCCTCTTGATCTGGCTGAAGATCGCGCTGAGGTTGGCGGCGGTCTCGCAGAGCTTCGGCCAGTAGCGCGTGAGGGAGCACCCGCGGGGCCTTGGCTGCTGAAGCCCGTGTGGCCAAGCTGTCCGAGATGTTCGCGAGCTGCACGTCGGCCGTCACGGCGAGGCTTTTCACGGTGGGGTTGGCGGTCGTCACCACGTTCGGGACGGAGAGGTTCGTCACGGCGATGCTGGCGTTCTTCGCGTCTGCTGCGGGACATAGGTCCGTTCGATGCAGACTGGCTTCGGACGAAGGAGGCGGCCGACATGATGTCGAAGTAGCTGGTCGTAGTGGTCGCGGGCGCTGGAAGCCAAGCACCTGCAGAGATTCTGGTCCAGAACGTGGTGGCTGAGGCATAAGTCCAGGATGCGGTCGTTGAACGTGGCAGCTTGGCTCACGAGCCAGGGTTATAAAGAGATCCGTGCAACACAACGCGACGGTAGTCAGCAGCTTGCACAGCGAGGGAGCGAATATGGACGGGCGGCCGCTAGCCCGTGATTGTGGAGGCATACGTCTGGATGCTGGATCGCTTGGGAGCCTACCCCGCGAAGGCAATTGATGGAACGCCATGTGGCCTTGAGCCAAAAAGGCTACGGAAGGAGGAGGAGGAGGACGATGGGGAGGAGGAGGAGGAGGAGGAGGTGGAGGAGGAACAGGAGGAGGAGGAGGCGGAGGAGGAGGAGGAGAGCGGGAGGAGGGACTGGAGGGAGAGGATGGAGGGAGGGGGCCGCCTCAAGAACGTCTCGAGGGTCAGGTCGTGCTGCCCGGCCTTGAAGTGCCGAGAGGCGCAGCACCAGCAGGCCCCGTACTTCGTCAGCAGCGCCCGCTCGGCCTCGCTGCGGCAGGCCTCCCGCGGGCACGGCAAACACGCTGCCTGGCCGCCTCGGCGGCCTCGGTGCCCCGCAGGCCCCGCCGTCTCCCGGCGGCGGCGACGGCGGCGGCGACGGCGGCGGCGACGGCGGCGGGCAGCGCGCGGCAGCGTGGGATGGGGTCCACGAGCGGGCCTCCGGCGTGGCACCTGGCAGCAGGGGTGAGCGACTCTGGGATGAAACGCTCCTTCGGCCTCGCCGCTCTCTCTCTCTGGGCGTTTGTGGAGCGTCCTGGAAGGCTCCTCCTCGCCACGGCTGGATCCAACGGGAGTCCGAGGCAAGAACGCACCCCAGGACAAGTCCAGGGGTCGACTTTTGACCCTAGAGTTAGGACGTCCAGGGCTCGCTAGGGACTGGCTTCCTTTTCAACCAGCCGAAACCCTCCCGAAACCCTCCCGAAACCCTCCCGAAACCCTCCGAAAACCCTCCAGGAAGGGTTCCGAGAGGCTTTTCGGAGGTTTTCGGTCGGAGGCTTTCGGGAGGTTTTTGGAAGGGTGTTCGCTGTTTTGAAAGGAAGCCAGTCCCTAGCGAACCCTGGGTTTTCTAATCGTAGAGACCAGGCCCGCATCGCGCCGTGAACACATGCGACGGGTCTGTGCTCTGAGATATTGGCCTCCTGGGGCCCTCACCTGTCGCCACGACCGTGCATCAACAAACTCCAGACGAGGCCGGTCCGAGGGGAGGGGAACGGCTCGAGACCCACACCCCCGACGTCACGATTATTTCCACAAGCTGGACCCCCAGAGGTCTGGACCCCTTCCCAGGGACCAGATTTCATCCTGCGTCGCTTTTGTGCCGGCCCCAGGGCCTGGCGAGGGCACCCAGGGGCCGAGCATGGCCCCAAAACCGTTCCTCTCGGTAATTACCTTTTCGCGGCGCGAAGGGGTCTGGGGCCCTGTGGCAGGGACCAAGCTGTGGAAACACCACCAAGTCGGCTTCCCCCTGGACCCCCTTCCTGCTCGAGACGCGCGGTGGCCGCGCGCTGCGCCCGACGATTTCTTTTCCTGCGGCCGCCGGGGGCGCGCCTCTCGGTATATGCCCGCGCCTCTCCGAGGCCCTGGGCGCGCCCAGCACCACGAGAGGGCGCATGGCGGACGCGACGCGCCCGCCCTGCTGCAGCCCGCGTTCCATTATATCGTTCGCGATATCGCCAATTATCGGCCCCGTCCCGCCGCCCCCCCCGGTTCACGTCAAGCTTCGCGGGGGCGCCCCCTGCGATTTTCTGCCCTTCTTGGGCGCTCCGGAGCACTCTCGGACGGCGCCGGTGCGAGCACCCGCGCCGTTACGGCCCCCCCCTCCTCCCTCCCTCCCCCCGCCCCATGTAACGCCCGCCATCGCCAGGCGATAAAGCAAATCGCCTCATGTCGAGCATGCTTAGAGTCGGGGAGACGTAAGACTCGGGTTCGGGGGACTCGGGTTGGCCTGACGGGACCATCATGGAAAAGACGAGACCCGATGTGAAACTTGACGCGAGCTCCCGCTGCAAACATCTCAAGAAGACTGGACCGTCAAACTCCAGGACGGGCCCGTCGAAAAGCGTCAGCACATCCGAGTTCTGGCGTACTCGCGTCCTACGTTTCCCCGATAGAGGGGACAGAAACTGCAGAAGCTGAACTCCCCCCCCCGGCGATACTGAAGTTCGGCCCCACCGCTCCCCACCGCTGACCAAAACTGTCTCGGCCGAGGATCGCCAGGAGAACCGTGGGGGGGGGGCCTGCTTCATTGTCCAGGGCAGGCATTCAGAAGTTCGGAGCTCCGCGCGAATGTCTTGGATCGGCGCAGGGCCCCCCCTGCCTGGTGCGCGGTGCGCGCCAAGGAGGCGGCGCCGATCCAAGCAGCCGACCGCGCAGCTCTGAAAGTTTACACGTCGTGCATTTCTAGTCGCGTTCATTTCAAATTATGCTCGTTTCTAATTTTTCCTGGCCCCCTAGTGGCCAGGAAGAGGCCCAGGATGGAAGAATTAGGAATGAAAGGATCCTGGCCCCCCAGAAGTCACAGAACTTTCGAAGCATCAGAAATGAACAACGTGTACGTCTGCGCAAAATGTTTGTTGTCCTCGACCCCTGCTGCCCAGCATGCTGACCCCCGAGCCCGCACGTCTTCCAGCCGCTGCCCGTGCCCTCCCCTCCTTGCCTGCCACGGTGGCCCTCCTGCAGGCAACCCGTACCATGAGGACGCGCGGGAAGGGTGCAGGGGCCCTGGAGGGCCACGTCAGCGTTTCTCGAGCGAGGTTGGCCAGCGAGAGTCGCTAAGGATGGGCCGAAGAGGCACGGATGCAAGGGTACCCTGGGGAAGGCTGCTGTTCCTTACTTTGCGGGCTGACTGTACCCCCCCTCTCGCTCACCGTCGTGGTCGTGCTGTTGTTCGGCCTGCTTGCTGCACGGCCACCTCTCCGGCTATACCGACCGGCCGGCGAGGCAGGGAGGCGGCTTCGGATCACGACGCCGGGTGCTTGGAACTTCTGGTCGGCTCTTGGAGGTTCCCTCGCCTCGGGGTGCTCTGCAGCAGCGGCGCCTCGTCGCGGTCCGCCGCTGGGCGCACGGCGTGTGGCCTGAAAAAATTGCCGGGCCTCGGCCGCTGCCCTGAGCAGCCCGCAGAGAGCCCTGCCGGCCGCAGAAGCCCGGCCGAGGAGACGCTCCGCGCCGGGACCAGTCGGCCTCGCAGTGCGTCATCCTGCCCCTGGGTTACAGCAGGTTCGTGTCGTGACAACCCCAGCGTCGGATTCTGACACCGCGTGGATCGTCCAAACTTGAACGATCGGCGGTCGTCCCTTGTCTCCCATGAGGGAACAATGCTACAGCGTACACATATGATACGAGCTCCTACTTTCAGAAATCTAACGGCTCGTTTGCCGTCGATCTCTGAGGTTTCTGAAGTGAACAAAGGCTTCAATGGCCCCCTGGTGGCCATCGGGGGGATCTGAAACTTTCATGTGGCACCTGCTGGCATGCCGGTCTCCTCTGAGACGTGCCTACTGTACTCTCGTCCACTACCATCTCCGGCCTCCCATGGGGAAACCACAATCTTCAGAACGGAGTCGTACACCACCACCACCATGCCTCAGGCGTGGCCAGGGCCAACCGGGGCCACGGCATGGTACCAGCAAGGTGTACACTCACAACCACAGGGCCCATGATGGCCCCTTCTGGGCACGGTGGTGGTGTATAGATAGATGCCTTCCAGGCGGAGGAGGAAGAGGAAGCTGGTCCCTTCTGTGCAGATCCCTGGACCTCTCCCGGGGTGCGTTCTGAGCATGGCTCCGAAGCGAGTCTGTCCCTGGCGAGGGGGGGACCTCGAGCACCCCCAAGAGGTCTTCAGCTCGAGTAGGGGATGGACTACAGCATTGCTTGACCCCCACATTGATGCCGTACCAGTCGACTGCTCCGTAGATCTATTGAGCATTATATGTTGATTGTTCGCAGATCCCATGGACAAACCAATGTCGAGAACGGGGGAGGGAGGAGGGGTAGCCGTACGGGTATCCCTTCCTCCCCTTACTCCAGGGCGGGCCTCTCGGAACGCGCTGGCTTCGATGACACGCCCGTGCGGCCCGCAGAGCACCCGGAAGAAGTCCACCGCCCTCTTGAGGGCGTCCCTGCCAGTGCGGACGTGGAGCGGGGGACGAGGAAGGCCTACGCAACACGACGAGGCATGACAAGCTTTGCGCTGCCAGGGAAGCCGCTTCCCTGTACCAAGCAGCACGGTGACAAAGCGCTGCCACAAGAAAGGGGCGCAACACATACCAAGTTATTATGAAGAAGCACGAATGGAAACCTCAGTACTTGTGACCCCCCAAACACTGAAACGGGGCACCACTGTCTAAAGCTCCTTCTCGAACTCCTCCCGCCTTCCCGTCCTTCTCCCCCTCCCCCTCCACGTCCCACTTCCCGTCGTCGTCGTCCTCCTCCTCCTCCTCCAACTTCCCCCCGGTCCGCTAGAGCCCTCCAACACGCATCATCCGTCCTCCTCATTCCATTCAGACGAGAGCGCAGTCGATCAAAAAGGGCACTTCCAAGACGAGCGCGACAGGACCAAATCATGTCAAGGAAATGTCCAGCGAAAGCCTCGATTGAAAAAGAGGCCGTCCTCCGTTCGTGCGACGGGTGCCCTATTTTACACTGCTGGTCGTAAATTGAATGGAGGTCTCCAGCGAGAGCCCTGGTTTGAACAAGAAGCGCCCTCCGTCCGTGCGCCAATGCAACCATCTTCGGCTCTGGTTGCACACGTCGCAGAAGCCTCAAGCGGGAACCACATTTGAAACGAAGCCGACGTCCGCCCGCGCGGCTGATGCACCATAGGTTGCACTGGAGGTCACACACTCCGATGGATTCTTCAGCGCGAGCCTCACTTTGCAAGAAGGGCCGCCCTCCATCCGCGCGGCGCCTGCACGCTACACTCTGGTTGTCCAACCGAGCAGGACCAACGCGCGAGTCCCATGTCGAAGAGGAGCCATGTTCCATCTGCATGACACACATTGTCACGCTGGGTCGTGAGCGATGAAGTTGCATCCGGAAAAAACCATGTTGAAAAGATCCGCCCTCACTCCGTGTGGCCGTTGAACGACTTACCGGTCTGACCAGACATATCGCATGCCGAGGAGGTCCAAGCGAAAAGGGGCCGCCTTCACTCCGCGTGACTGCTGTACACAACTGAATGTCGAATTTCGGGCCGTAGCCTTGGATCGAGCAAGTGTCAAGCGAGAGCTTTAATTCGCAAACAGATCCGCCCTCCATCCGCGTGTCAGCGGAACGCATTTACACTCTGGTTTCTCCATTCGAACAGGTCTCAGGCGCGAGCCCCTTCTAGAAAAGGGGCCACCATCCATCTGAATGACGAACTGTTACACTTCGTGTCGTGACGGAGGAAAACTCACATGAGAGCCGCATGTTGAAAATATTCGCCCTCACCCCGTGTGAATGCTGCACGCATGTGCATGCCGAGGAAATCCAAACGAACAATGAGAGGCCCCCATTACGCGCAACTGTCACACAATGCTGCATGTCGGGCCTCAATCTGCACGAGCGGGTCTCAAGCGAGAGCCCCATTTTGAAAACAGAGCCGCCATCCAGTCCTTGTTCCGCTGCACAAGATGTGTATATATATATATATATATGTATATGTATGTATGCACGCATGTGTTTGTTTGCATGTCTGTTTGTTCATATATATGTATATGCTCATGTAGACGTAAATACATATGTAAATGTGTATGTATATGTATCTGTACATGTATATGTATGTGTATATATATATATATATATATATATATGTATAGGTATATGTGTATGTATATGTATATGTACATGTATAGGTATAGGTATACGCACATGTATATGTTTATGAACATGTAGTTGTGTGTATCTGTGTATACGTATATGTATGTATGTGAGTGTTAACGCCGAGAAAGGAGCGACAGAAAGGAGTAGGAGGAGGTTCAACCGAGGAGGAGGCGGAAGTGTATGAGGAGAGAGGAGGAGGAGTAGGAGGAGGAAGAGGAGGAGGAGAAGGAGGATGAAGAGGAGGAGGAGTAGGAGGAGGAGGAGGAGAAAGAGAAGGGCTCTGCGGAGGATGTCGTTTCCGCCTGGCCCCCATGCGGGAACCGCTGTCATTTCCTCTGATGCTTCTTGGGTGCGCCCTGCCCCCGCGTGACTATTGCACAATTTTGCACTTCGCCTACACAACACAGTCTGAGGGGCACTGCGACATCCCCATGTTGAAAAAGGAACCAGCCTCCTCCCTCGCTGGCAGTTCCCTCTGACACACCCACTTTTAGGACGAATGTGCTCGGTGCCAGGGCGAGGGCCACATTATGAAAATGGGTAATCTGGCGAATTTGCGCGGCGATAAAGCGAGACTCACATGTTGATGCCGATTCGCCTCCAACTTGTAGAACTGGTCATGAAATCGCAGGCGAAATGCCAGGCCCGCCTTGCTGACACGCCTGGTGTGCGACGAAGAGGACTTGTTAAAACAGAAGAAGCAGGGGAGGAGAAAGACGAGGGGAAGAGGAAGAGGGAAAGAGGGGAGGGAGGGGGAGGAGGAGGAGGAAGAGGAGGAGGGGGAGGAGGAGGAGGAGGACGACGACGGCAACGACGGCAACGACGACGACGGCAACGACAACGACCCCCGCGCCACCAGGCGTCAGCAGATGGCGAGGGCACGGTACCCTCTAAACGTCGTCGTCGTCCTTGAACCACCGACGCCGCTACAACCGACGGCGGCCGCGCCAGCGTCGGAGGCGTCAGCCGAAGCCTCGCCAGAGGCGACGCCGCCATCGGCGCCATCGGCATTTGTCGCTGGCGTCAACGCCCGCAGGCGTCGCCGCCATTGGCGCCATCGGCGGTTGCCGCTGTTGTCGACGCCCGCAAGAGTCGCCTGGATCTCCAATCGGGGAACCAAGCGATGCCCATACCGCTGCTCCCTGGACCTCTCCCAGGGCGGCATGTTCTGACCCGAACCTCTCGAGGATAATCAAGCCGTGGCAACGAAAACCCTCCAGAACGAGCAGGGGAATCGCTGCCGTCGACGACGCCGTCGACGTCGAGCGCCAGCCGTCAGAAAGCTCGAAGGTTGCGCCCGCGCTCCTCTGGTCCGACCACACGCGTAGGAGGCGTCGTCGACGTCGTCGACGACATCGTCGTCGTCGTCGAAGTCGTCGTCGTCGTCCTCCTCGTGCGCCGCGTGCCTCTGGTCCGACCGCAGGCGCAGGAGGCCGGACTCGGCCAGGCGCCCGCCGCGCATGACCTGGCGCAGAGGGAGCAAAGGGGCGGGATCTCTGCACTCTGGGCGCGGCCGCCGCGGCCAGAGCCTCCCCGCGCCCTTCCTTCTTCGAGCCACCTCTTCCTCCTCCTCCTTGTCCTCCTCCTCCTCCTCGTCATCCTCCTCTTCCTCCTCCTCCCTCCTCCTCCTCCTCCTCCTCCTCCTCCTCCTCCTCTCCTCCTCTCCTCCTCCTATCTCCTCCTCCTCCTCCTCCTCTCTCCTCCTCTCTCCACCTCTTTCCTGCTCTCACCTCTCTCTCACTCCTCCTCCTCCTCCTCATCCTCGTCCTCCTCCTCCTCTTTCTCCTGCTCCTCCTCCTCCTCCTCCTCTTCCTCCTCCTCCTCCTCATCATCATCCTCATCCTCATCCTCATCCTCATCCTCATTCTCGTCCTCATCCTCGTCCTCCTCCTCCACAATTACACGAAACGAATGCTACTCTCCTCTCTCCCCTGGTGGCGTCTGGGGAATGTCCGGCCCCCCTCCGCGTACTGGTTTCTTACACACAAGATTCCCTGGAACTGAGTTTTCGCTAGGTTTGTTGTTCAATTGTTGTTCAAAATGCTGCTCTCGCTGAAGCACCCCCCACTTTGGGGCGTCGCCACGCCATGCTGTGTCAGGCTACGTGTCCTCATTTCCGCGCTTCCGCGCTGAGTTGTTTTTCCTCCTCAAAATGCTGCTCTCGCTGAAGCGCTGACCTCATGTTCGGGCTACCGCTCGTTCCGAATCGTGCTCCCGCTGCAGCGCTGGCCTCATTTCCGCGCTTCCGCTCGCTCCCGTTCCGAATCGTGCTCCCGCTGCAACGCTGGCGTCATTACGTCATTATTTCCAGCGCCATGCCACGACATGGTTTTCGGTCCTTCCAAATGAGCACCAAAATCTAGAACATGGACCCCCGAATCAACCATCGGATGTGATTACACATTCGGTGTTATTTCGTTGATTTTTGGGGCGGCAAAAGACCGCCCCACCCTGGGGCGTCGCCACGCCATGCTATGTCAGGCTACGCATCCTCATTTCCGCGCTTCCGTTTGTTGTGATGTTGTTGTCCTTTCTTTTGTTCAAAATGCTGCTCTCGCTGAACCGCTGGCCTCGCTTTCGGGCTACCGCTCGTTCCGAATCGTGCTCCCGCTGCAGCGCAAACATCATTTCCGCGCTTCCGTTCGTTCCGAATCGTGTTCCCGCTGCAACGTTGGCGTCATGATGTCGAGTGCCATGCCCCGGCATGGCTTCGGTCCTTCAAAAATAAGACCCATAATCTAGAACATATCCTCCCGAAGCATCGGAAGTGATTAAACATCCGGTGACGATTCTGTAATTTTCGGGCCGCAGAATCGGGCCGCAGAAGCCCCCCCCACCTTGAGACCTCGCCGCGCCATGCTATGTCATGCTACGCGCTGATATTCGACACCATGCTATGCCATGGAATGCTATGCCATGCTGCGACATCCAATAGTGCGGATAGAAATGAGATCTACGCCATGGTAAGGGATGAGAACCTAGCTTGTCCTCCCCCTCCTGCTGCTCCTGTTCCTGCTCCTCCTCCTCCTCATCCTCCCTCCTCTCTCCTCGTGAACCTCCTCCTCCTCCTCCTCGTCATTCCTCTTTCCTCCTCCTCCTTTTCCTCCTCCTCCTCCTCCTCCTCCGCCTCCTCCTCCTCCTTCTCCACCTCCACGCCCTCCTCCTTCCTCCTCCAAGTCCTCACCCTTCTCCTCCTCTTCCTCCTCCTCCTCCTCCTCCTCCTCCTCCACCTCTCGCCTCATGCACCTCCGCCTCCTCCTAGGGTGGCCTCCTCTCTTCCTTCTTCTCCTCCTCCTCCTCCTCCTCCGCCTCCTCCTCCTCTCCTCCTCCTCTCCTCCCTCTCCTTCCTCCTTCTCTCTCTCTCTTTCCTCTCCTCCTCCTGTTCCGTTTTCCTCCTCCTCCTCCTCCCTCCTGCTCCTCGTCCGCTCCTCCTCCTCCTCCTCCTCCTCCTCCTCCTCCTCATTCGTTTTCTCTCCTCCTCCTCTTCCCCTCGTCCTCCTCCTACTCCTCCTCCTCCTCATCTGCCTCCTCCTCCTCCGCCTCGCCCTCGTCCTTCTCAGCCTCCTTCTCTTCCTTTCGCCTCCTCCTCCTTCTGCTTGTCCTCGCCTCCCGTCCTCCTCCTCCTCCTCCTCCACCTCCTCCTCCTCCTCCTCCTCCTCCTCTCCTTCTCTCCCCCACATCCGCCTTCTCTCTCCTCTATTTGTTTTCTGGTGTCCCCTCCTCCTCCTCTCTCCTCATCCTCCTCCTCATGCTCCTCCTCCGCGTTCACCTCCTCATCCTCTTCGGTTGGAACCCCTCTTCTCCTCCTCCTCCTCCTCTCCTCCCTCCTCCACTCCTCCTCCTCGTCCGCCTCCTCCTCCTCCTCTCTCATCCTCCTCTCTCCTCTCTCTGCTCTCTCCTCGCTCCTCGCGCACCTCTCCTCCTCCTCCTCCTCCTCCTCCGCCTCCTCTCCTCCTCCTCCTCCTCCTCCTCCTCCTCCTCCTCCTCCTCCTCCTCCTCCTCCTCCTCCCCTTCTCTGCACTATCAGGTGTATGGCCTACCCTTACGGGGGGTGGCATTCGTATTGTAATACGTCGAAGTTGGCCTCGCATGCGTGAAATCGTCGACCAAGAGACTGTTTCCGATAAACGGCGGTTGGTTAAAGGCCCGATTGCGACCGTGTACGTCACTATGTTGGTTATGGGTTGGGCCCCGTGTACCTTCGACCGTTGGGATGTCCCTGGGTATCCTGACCTTCGGGCTACCGACCCTGATATCAGATACCATCTGGTCAGATGTGTACAACGAACGTGTGTTTCTATCGTCTGGTCGAAGGCCTCTGAACACTATTGTGCCCGTGGCAGTGAACGCGGGGTTGTTTGCAGGGTCTGCCGCAGGCTTCACAGGAGCCTTTTATGAAGGATGGCGACTACCAGCGTGTTGTTATGCTGTTCACCATCGTTACTGGGGAATGTCGGCCCGAAGGTCGACTGCAAGACTCTGGGTACGATACGAATGGTAAGTGTCCCCGTCGTGCTGACGAGAAGGAACATCTGTATTACAATGGTTGGACTTACCCGGGTAATGAGTATATAACTAGCACTGGTGTGCGCACGAATTACCTCACAGATTCTCCCTCATGCTGCTGCTGCTGAACCTGATGCTGCCCTGTGGACTCGCAGGCCCCCTCCGTTGTCTCCACTTTAGGTGTTGTACCGCCGCCTGTTCAGAAAGTCTGGTCATTGGGTCTCCTTGGGGAGCAGAACATTGCGGTTGGATGGAAGTTGGCCCTTGACGGCTCTGGAGGTAAACCCGCTCTCGAACATCGCTTGCGTCGTTGAGGATGGTCCGCGGTCCGTCTAGGGGAACCTCAAGATGGGCAAAGCGACTTAGTGCGGTTGCCTGTGGCAGCCTCCCAACACCCAAGGAAGCCAATCCGCGTGCCGAGTTGTTCGCCTTCTTGACGGTCGTGAATCATTTCCGTGGTGGTAGTGTGTGCAATAAGGTATAATGACTACTTACCCCTCTGCCGCGCGATGCCCAAGTCGCGGTCTCAAATATCTCTGGACTGCGATCGATCGGCGTGGCCCTGGCAAGACTCCTGTTCCTTGAACGAAATCGCATGCGAGTGTCCATATGCAAGAAAAATGCGCCATTGGGTTCGATGAATTGGTATGTTTTGAACTGGCGTGCTGATTTTGTTCGCGGGATGGGCCGAAGAGGTCGTGCTGTGCCCGGAACGGTTACTAAAAAGTCCTCGAGCAGGACTCTTTAACCCATTCGATGCTGCGTAGACTTCTGGGAATCAACATGGAGGTTGCCGCGGCGTGCAAGAGGAGAGTGGCTACCAGGGCCGGCCGTGCCCCGCCGACTCCCCGAGCCTCGCCTCCTCCTGTACCCGCCGGGACCGCCTCCGTGCAGCTGGCATTCTTGTAAGAAGCAGGGGGGGCGCTCTGAATCGGGGAGGCGCAGACATGGATTAGCGATCCACAGATCTGGCGCGCGGTCGCCAAACTCATTGATCGGGGGAGGTGCCCTCCCCAAAATGCGACCGATGTCGCCTCGTTCGGCGGCGGACATCCGTGATTTCCCATGGACACGGGACCCGTCGCTAATCCACGCCCCTTTGATCCATGTTTGCGATCGCCTGGCTGAAGGATTATCTTTGTGATCGGCGCTTCCCCCTGAGGGGGATTTTGAGGCGGTCTCCATGGGGCCTGTTGTGGTTCGCGCGTGCTGGCCAAAGAGAGAGGTACCTCTCGGGCAACCCCTCTATACCAGGGCACACGCTTCGCATCAGCTTGGTGTGATTCGTGGTTTCCTGTTCTGTAAGCATTGCGGGTGTAATGGCACCGTGAATGCCGTGAACTTGAATAAAGAGTGCCCACCGCGTCCAACACTGACTGGGATCAAGGTTCTGAAGAGGCTTGCTAAGGGACTCCCGTCCAAGATCGGAGTGCCCATTGCGAGGTAATTGAATCGTGCCCAGATTTGACGTGAACCCCACGGCCACTCCTCCGCCTCGTCCTCCTCCTCGTCCTCCTCCTCCTCCTCCTCTCTCCTCCTCCTGCTCCTCCTCCTCCTCCTCACCTCCTCCTCCTCCTCCTCCTCCTCCGCCTCCTCCTCCTCCTCCTCCTCCTCCTCCTCCCCATCCTCCATATCCTCCTCCTCCTCCTCCTCCTCCTCCTCCTCCTCCTCCTCCTCCTTGGGTGGCCATCCTCCTCCTCCTCCTCGTCCTCCTCCTCCTCCTTGTCCTCCTCCTTCCTGCTCCTCCATCCTGCTCCTCCAGTCCCGTGTCAGCTCGAGGCGTCGGCACCCCTCCTCGCTCCCTCGCTCCCTCGCTCCCTCCCTCGTGCCCTCCTCCTCGTCCTCCTCCTCCTCCTTCCTCCTCCTCCTCCTCCTCCACATCCTCATCCTACTCGTGGATACCCTCCTCCTCCTCCTCCTCTTCTTCTTATTCTTCTTAGTATTATTATTCTTCTTCGTAGTATTCTTCATATTATTATTAGTCTTCATATTATTGGACTTATTATTGTGCGTCTTATTTGTCTTCTTCTTCTTCCTCCTCCTCCTCCTCCTCCTCTCCTCCTCCTCCCTCCTCCTCCCTCCTCCTCCTCCCCCTCCTCCTCCTCCTCCAACTCCTCCTCCTCCTCCTCCTCCTCCTCCTCCTCCTCCCCTCGCTCCCTCCTCCTCCCTACCTCGATCCCTCGCTCCTACGTGCCCTCGTCCTCCTTCTGTCCTCTCGTTCCCTCCGCCCCTCCCCCCCGTTCCCTCCTCCCTCCCTCGCTCCCTCCACCTCCCCCTCCTTCCTTTTCTCCACTTCCTCCTCTCTCCTCCTGCTTCTCCCCCTCCTCCTCCTCCTCCTCCTCCTCCTCCTCCTCCTCCTCCTCCTCCTCTCCTCGCATGGCTCCCGAGCAGGACGCCCTCCACCCCCTTGTCCCTCGAAGGTCCAGGCCGGGGAGGGGGGATTGACGGCTCCGTCCAGTGTTCTGGACGTCGTTGTCCCATGTACCTCCGAGGAACTCCGCGGTGGCAAGGACCCGGTGGCCCACCAGTGGCCTCCGTCATGAATTGTGCTGTTCCTCCCTTCTCGAACGGCCCGCGGACGCGCGCGAGCTCGAGGCGTCGATCCTCCTCTTCTTCTCGTTCTGCGTTTCTCTGTCTTCGTCTCTCCTTCCTAAGGTTATCATCGTCCTCCTCCTCCTCCTTTTCATCCATCCCTTTGCGTTTCGTGCGCTCCTAGCGTTTGCCGTGTGGAACTCCAGGACGTCCAAGTCCCCCAAACTAAATGCAGCATCCCCCAGAGCCTACCAAGAAATGCTCGAAAAGGCTTAGGAGCCCTCGACAGTACCGAGGGACCGTCGTGGGGCTCTCCTGGGACTCCTAGGGCCTGTGTGTCTGTCTTGGAGTCCGCGGGGGCCAGCTGAAAATGCCCAAATCATTCAAACATTCTAACAGAAGTGATGTAGAGTTTTAGCGCACTATGTAGATTGGTCCTGACAGCGTCAACGACGGCCCATGAGACCCCCAACAGGAGGAGGAATAGGAGCAAGACGGCCCAAGAGGCCCCCAAAGAGGAGAGGAGGAGGAGAAGGAGGACCAGTGTAAACCCAAGGCGCATCAACGATATTGCAATCAACCCTCCCTCCAAGTTCCCTCTTCGTAGGCCCCTACAAATATTCATTTTCAATGAAAGAAGTGCCCCGTTGGAAAACAACCGTTCGCGTATCCTTAACCGAGTCAGAAAACCATCCCTGGGACTTCAACGACGCGAATCACCGCTACTGTTGCGTCTTGGCGATCCAAAATCGTACCAGAATCCAATTCCCGGAACTTCAACACTACGAGTCAACAAAACTTTTGCATCCTGACAGTCCGGCATCGCCTCAACACACCATCTCTCGGACGTTTGAAACTTCTGTAGACTCTAAGAACGCATGTGCGCGGCGCTAAAAGGAGAACCACATGTTGGAAAACATCGCCCTCCATTCATGAAATTCTGGCATGAAACAACGAAAGTGCGCGGCACTACGGAGAGAAACGCAAGTTGAAACGGAGCCGCCCTCCATCCGTGAAACTCTTGCAGACGTTCAAAAAGAATGTGCGCGGCGCTAATGCGAGAACCATATTTTGAAAACGGCACGCCCTCCATCTGTGAAGCCCAGGCATGTTTGAAACAAATGTGCGCGACACTAGGGCGAGAACCACTATCTGAAAACGACCCGTCCTCCATCCGTGAAGCACTTCCAATGTTTGAAACGGATGCGCACGGCGCTGAGGCAAGCACCACATATTGAAAACGGCCCGCCCTCCATCCATGAAGCTGTTGCACGTTTTTGCAAATTCTGAACTTCAAGATCATCAGTGGTGAAGAAATCTCACCCGCCCTTTCTACCGACCTCGGGGTGCGACAGGGAGGAGTTGCTTTCAGGAGAAGGAATGGTGGAGGAGGAGGCGGAGCGCGAAGGAGGAGGCGGAGGAGGAGGAGGAAAGGGAGGAGGAAGAGAAGGAAGGTGGCGAGAAGGAGGAGGATAGCGAGAGGGAGGAGGCTAGCGAGAAGGAGGAGGAGGAGGAGGAGGAGGACGGGGAGGAGGAGGACGGGGAGGAGCACTGTGCCCTCACAGCGCTGCCGCCGGGGCCGCGAGACGCACCTGCGCGCTCAGAGCCGCGGCTCGCGGTGCGCCGGTGGCGCGGCCAGCGGCAGCGCGAGGAGGGCCCAGAGGCCGGCGGGCAGCGCTTGGCGCCCCCGCCGCGCTCCTGCCGGGCGCTCCGTCGCGGACGCCTCTGGCGCTCGGCGCGGCGCTCACGGCGCCCGCGCGGCGCCCGAGGCGTCCTTGGCGAGGAAGCCGGCATGACGCGTGAACGCAGAAAGTTTCGGAACTCCGCGCGGACTTCAGGAAGTCCGCGCGGAGCTCCAGGACATGTCGTATGAGTGCATCTGTCTGTTCTGCGAGCCCGGAGGCCTACAGCCAGCCCCTGCCTGGCCTGTCGAGCTCCGCCTGCAGCCGGTCGGGCGTCTGCGGGGCCGCCAGCAGCAGCTCGTCGTCCGAGGCCGCGCCGCCGATACCGCTGCCTGCTCTCCTGGGGGGGGGGGGTCCCAAAGCCGCGTGGTAGCGGACCGCGCGGTGACCTCGAACTCCCACGAGACTCACCGCCCAGACCCTCTCGGGCCATGGAAGAATCACGACGGGAGGTCTTTCTCCACGTTCGGCCTCTGAGGGCCCGCAAGTAATTAACTGGGCCTCGGGACCGTCAAAAAACGGCTCAGGATGAGAGCGGGTCCCGGGGAATGGGCCGAGACCTCTGGGGGTCGGCGTTATGAACAAAATCATGACGTCGGGGGGCTGGGCGCGCGGTCCGCCACCGCAGGGGGCTCGGGGCCCCCGAGGTCCCCAGTGCCCGCGACGTCCTTGGAGAACAACCCGAGTCCAACAACCGTACGGTGACCCCGAATGCCCCCTGACTGAGGAACAAGAGACAGCGACACCACCACCACCAGGGACCACTAGCAGGAGGAGCCTGGGGTGGCCCCCCTGGTGGTATGGTCCCCCCCTCTCGCTCAGCTCGGGGAGGCATCGTGGACCTCCTGGCTGGAGGTGGCCCCCCCTGGTGGTCGTGTCGCTTCTCCCTCCCCCGATGCCGCACCACCTGGTGATGTCACCACACCGCTGGGGGAGCCCCGCTCTTCACATATGGGCAGAGAGCACGGTATACCACAGACCGCTCCGCCGCCGGGGACCCCTGCCCCCCCTGGGCGGCTGGTACGTTTGCACCTCTATAGATGACGCATCAGGGGACAGGCGCCCCCCACGGGAAGGAGAGTGTACCCGACATGCCGCTCTGCGCCCGCCGACGCTCTCCCGGCCAGCACCGAGGGCCTCGCGCCGGAGGCTCCGCCCGCGCCCGGCGCCCCACCGCCGGCCGAGGGCGGCCCGGCGCCCGTGGCCCACGGCGAAGCGGGCGACCCGCCGCCCGACCTGCATGGGGACACCACAGGGTGCCGCTGCTGCTGCTCCCCGGGCCTCTCCTCGGGTTCGCTCTGGCCAGGACCTCGCTCGGCGAAGCCAGCGGTGGCGACGAGGGCCTCCCATGGGACGCCCAAGAAGGGGGACGCCGGGCGAAGGGGTGCGGAATCCCAGAGGTCCGACGTTGTGATTTTTTCAAGACGGGGAAGTCTCGACCCATTCCCCGCAGGACTGGTTTCTCATCCCGATCGAGTCGTTCTTTGACGGTCCCGAAGCCCGGCGAGGGCCCCCACAGAAGGGCCGACACTGGCGACACACCTCCCTCTTGATCTTCGTTGGGCGTGGCTTCATGGGGGGGTCATAAATGGGGGGGTCAGAAACGGTCCCCTTTCGTGCTCCTTTCGGGCCCCTCCGGACCCCCAGGGGGCTCGTTTAGGTACCGTTTGGGTACCTTTTCGGACCACCCTCGCCACCCCCCCCATTTATGACCCCTCCATTACGCAACGCCCAACTTCGCCCATACGTTGGATCTCCGGGTCTGCAGGGGCGTCTTCGGCTCCTCCCCCGACGACCGCCGAGCGGCCTGCGCCGGGCCGGCCGCAGGGAGGCCGCCCTGCGGCGGAGGGCCCCCGCCTGCGCCCGCGGAGCCGGGCGCGCCGCCGCGGCCCGGCGGCCCACGCGGCGAGGCCGCGGGGCGCTCGGCGCCGCCCGCGGGCGCCGCGGGGCGCCCCGCCGCGCGGCCGCCGGTGGGCGTCCCGCTGCGCTGCCTCGCGCGCGCCTCCTCCGAGCCCCGGCGTGGTTGCGCGGAGGATGCAAAGGGTCGGGGCGGGAGGCTTTTGGCGCCGATGTCGGCCTCGGGGGGCCCTCGCCGGGCCTCGGGACCGTCAAAGATAACGACCCAGGATGGAAGACCGGTGCATGCGGGGAATGGGTCGAGACTTCTGGGGACCCCGTAGTGAAAAAATCACGGCATCAGCTTACTGGGTCCAAACAGCAGCCTCGAACGGATCCTTTTCCAGGGCCCCGATATCGTGATTTTTGTTTTGTCACAACATATATCCCCAAAAGTCTGGACCCCTTCTCCAGGACTGGTTTCTCATCCTGTTGACGGTCCCGAGGCCCGGAGTTAAGGGTCCCTGAGGCCGAAAATAACGAAAAACGTCCCGTCGTGACTTTTGCCACAACGCGAAGGGTTCTGGTTATACCCCTGAGACCGACAAGTCCGAGGCGATGGCGGTCGCAGGAGCGACGATCAGAAAGAGGGCCTTGCCCGAGGTGGCATGGCGGCTTCACAAGTGGGTCGGAAGAAGCAGGTAAAACACGAAGGAAAGCGGATCAAGATAAATTGGGTTCAGGCCCTCCCAGAGAATAACAAAACACAGCAAGAACAGATCGAATCTTGCAGTAGGCAGGCGCCTCACGTGGATTGGGACCTGGGGATCCAGAACATTACCTGCTTTCAACGACCGGCGCGCACGCCGCGGCTCGCGCGGGCTGCGGGCGCGGCACACCGCACTGGAGACGGGCGCGCTCTGACGCGCGGCCTCGCGCGGGCTCAGCTGACGCGCCAGCGTCGGCGCAGACGGCCCCACATGTCTTCTGGGTCGCTCCTGTGGGCGGCGGTCAGACACGGGTCTCACGCGAGATGGCGTAGCGACCTTACGCGGTGGCTTACGCGGGCGGCCAGTGCGATGCGTTACGTTACGATGGAAGCGAGGGCGCTCACGCGCGACCTTGCGCGAGCAGCTTACGCGCCAATGTCGGCACAGTCGACCCCCTTTTCCTTGCGTCGCTCCTATGGATGCGCCCTGAGAAACTGACCCAAACATGATTGCGTCGTTAAAAAAAAGAGCGGACAATTGTTCGTTAAATTCGGCCCCTGGGGGCCCTCGCCAAGCCCCGGGACCGTCAACAAAAGCGACTCAGGATGAAAAACCGGCCCCGGAGAGAGGGCCTGGACTTCCGGCAACGCCATACTGAAAAAATCAGGACCAAGGCCACAGCAGGTCCCAGGCATGCGACGTCCTGATGTTTTCAAGACGGCGTCCCCGGAAGTCCCGACCCTGTCTCCGGGCCGGTCTTTCATGCCGAGTCGTTTTTGACGGTCCCGGGGCCCGGCGAGGGCCACTATCGGGGCCGAAAATATGGAAAAGCCTGCCGTCCTGATGTTTTTAAGACGCGATCATATCTGGGTCAAAACCGTAATCGAGATCCGGCGATGCCGATGGCAGGGATCAGGGTGGAGGTGTGTTCGAGCTGCTGAGCCGCTCCTCCCGGGCCCGCCGCTGGGCGGGCGTCGCCAGTGCGCCCGAGGCTCCGAGGTGCCGCTCCCAGTCCTCTGGGAGGAGGATCACTCGTGGGCAACCGCAGGGGGGGGGGACGGGCATACTCGAAATCTCTTCACTATCGAACGAGCTCCAAAAAAAACGACACCCCCTTCAACGGCGACCTCATTTTCTGAACACCCCCCAGTCAACAGGCGGCCTTCATATTCCGGGCCCTCGTCTGCGGTTCAAAAGAAAGCCCCAATAAACCGGACCCCCCCGCTTCCAAAAAAACGCCTCAAAAACATGACCCAGGGGACGATGATTAGGGGATTTCGGGTCGGGGGGATGGGCTTAGGGGGGGATGCATCGACTACAAATCGCCAGTTGATCGCCGAGAGGGGCCCGATAGCCCCAACCTGCCCAGGAAGGTGCGGGCTCACGATCGGAGGCCTATCGCCGATCTATCGGCGATGCATCGCCGATTTCAGGTCGAGGTATTCCTATTGCCCCCTATGCCAGTCCCCCCCCTTATCTTTGCCCCTGAAGAATGCACCGACACCGCTGCCCTTGCCTCGTGTTCCCCCTTCTGGGGCCTCCTGGGCGTAGCTGCCCCCGTGCATCGCAGCCCGTGGCGTGTTGATACGGAGATCAACACGTGGGCTGAAGACGTGGGTCTGGCACGATGCGTTCGCCCAGGCGTGGGCTCTATCACGTGGAGCCAACACGCAGCGTGTCAACACAGACACTCTGAACACGGTACGTGCTGCGTTTCAAAGCGGGCGTATCGGGTCAGCTAAGCTCCTGGGAGGTCCTCGTCGCCACCGGTGGAAATCGCCCCGAGATTCTGGTCAGGACGCGCCCAGGGAGCTGTCCAGGGAGCAGCGGTATCAGTAACTGCTGGTTTCCCCAACTCCTGCACGGTCCACTCCATGGGCTGCCAGGGCTCCGAGAAGCCCACGGCTCGGTCCCTCGCGTACCTCAGGGCGAGACGGGTGTCGCGTGGCGACTGGCTCGGGGGATGCGTTCCAGGAGCTCCCGAGTACCTGGCGGCTCCGGTCTCTGCAGCCCGTGTGGAGGAGTAGAGATCTGAGTAGCATCGTGGAGCGCATCGTTATCACGATCTGTTCTGCTCTTCTGAGGTGGCAGGTTCTGGAACGCGTGAGCCCGCCGACGATAACGATAACGACCAACGATCACAACGACAACAACGATCACAACGATCAGCGATCAAAGCTTTTCTCCTGCTGTACGGAGTGAGGGCACAGCAGGAGAAAAGCATTGATCGTTGATCGTTGTGATTGTTATATCGTTGTTATCATCATCGTTGTGATCGGTGATCGTTGTTATCGTTGTCGTTTACGATCGTTGCCATCGTGGCGAATGGTGCCATCTCTTGGGCGCGCAACTGTTGCTTCCGCCGCCTTCCACCGGCCTTCCGCCGGTAGGCCCGCCGCCGCTTACTTCCGCCGCCGTCCGCCGAGGAAGAGATGCCAACTCCTTTGTGATCCTCGCAGGCGAGGCTTCCTCTGCAGCGCCCCACCTGTACCGGTGCTCCTGCACGGCCGGGTTCCAGGAGGACGCGATGTTGCCAGAGATGGACTCGGCCGACTCCTGGGACTCGGGCTCCGACAGCTCCTCTGGCAGCAGGCCCCGCGCCGCGTGCAGGTCCCCCAGCTGCCGCAGGTCCGCGCGGGCCCCGGGGTCCTGTCGGGGCCGGGCACGTTGAGACAACGGCAACGCAAAGTCGGTCCCCAGACCGCTCCTGGGGTCCAAACGCACCAGCCCCTGGAGAGTGGCCAAAGGTGAGTGCCTGTACGGGGGATGTCCTGGCGGGGCTGCAGCACCTCGATGCCCTGCCCTCCCGACCCCCGAGCCCCCCGCGCAGCACAGCGAGACTCCCGCAAGCCACGACGGGACCGAGGGAGCACCTTGCACAGCCTCCTCGCCTTCTGGGATCCTGCTGTTCCCATCGCACTCGGGAACCGCATCCCAGAAAATATGTCGAGCGACCCAGGGAGTATCAACACAAAGTGTCCGCTCGACACGCTGGCGAAGTTCAGAACGAGTATCGCCTCCATGGGTCCGACGTGCTAAAACCAACCAGTCGATGCTCTCTTGTTGCTCGAAATGCGCCCTGGCGAACAAGGCCAAAGCAGGTCACAGACATGCGACGTCCTGAATTAGAGTATCGACACGCATTGTCTGCCCGACACGCTGGCGAAGTTCCGAACGAGTATCGCCTCCCAGGGCCCGACGTGCGAAAACCGACCAGGCTTTCGATGCTCTCTTGGTGCTCGAAATGCGCCCTGGCGACCAAGGCCAAAGCAGGTCCCAGACATGCGACGTCCTGAATTTTTCAGGACGGCGTCCCACTGGATCCTTTTTTGGATGGTCCCAGGGCCCGGCGCCAGGACCGAAACTGACGAAAAACTGGCCGTCCTGATGCTTTAAGGACGCGATCGTGTCTGGGGCTGGAACGTCATCCTGGGCGCGCTTCCGCCGCCCGCGAGCCGCATCTCCCGGCCGAGGCCCCCGGTGCACCTCTGGGGGCCCCCGACCCCTGGGGGCGCGGGAGGCGCTGCGGCCTCCGCCCCCCCCACGGGCGCAGTCAAGATAGAGCGCTGATCGTGGGGTCGGGCGCGAGTTCGCGGGGGCGGGGGGGGGTGAAAATCGGGGGCAGGGGAAAGAGGTCCCCTTTCGGGCCCGGGGAGGCCCCCTCTGGAGCCCCAGATTTGGCTCCTGTGGGCCCTAGAGGGTCCTATGTTGGGCCCTGAATTGAAGTCCTCTGGGTCCTGGATTTAGCTCACTTGGGTCCTGCAGGGCCCCTTTTCTGCAGCTCTCGCTGCCCTCCCCCTCATTTATCGTTCAGTCGGGCATGTCCCTCTACAGGAGGAGTACTCAAAAATAGTACAACAATAATCCAGGGACGATGTTTGGATTCTGTTTGCTATTTTTGAGCACTCCTCGACTGATTTACAATTCTTCGTCCAAATTCCGCCTCCAGCGGAACATGCCTGACCTAAATTTATGTCGGGCGTTGGCAGAACTGGGTTTAGTGGAACCTGGTATAATGATTTGTACCGGGAGCGCCCCCCCGTCCCATCTCCACTAACCGGAACTGCCGTCACCCGAAAAACACCAGCTACGGCAAACCTGGTTTAGTGAATCTGGCCAATTGAGGGGCCCCAGGGCCCTACTACTAACCGGGTTCCTTTACCCGGGGTCCTGGCTATACCCGATTATGGCCCCCCATTGCGCGCCCCTCGATGGGGGCGCCGGGCGTCGGCACTGGCATGACCCCGCGCCGGCCCCGAAACTCTACAGGGCGACAACGAGGACACGAGCGCCGAGGGGAGAAGGAACGACAAGGCGACAGGGGCCTCCTCCTCCTTTTCCCCCCCCCCCCCCCTCCTCCTCCTCCTCCTCCTCCTCCTCCTCCTCATCCTGCTCCTGCTCTTCCTCCTCCTCCTCCTCATCCTCCTCCTCCTCCCCATCCTCCTCCCTCTCCACCTCCTCCTCGTCCTCCTCCTGCTCCTCCTCCTTCTTCTCCTCCCCCTCCGCCTCCACAGAAGACTGGTCAGCGCGCTGGCACTCGCGCCCGCGCGCCGGCATCCATGCCTGCCCTGGGCAGGATAGGCAGAGCGGGGGGGCGCGAGGGGGAGAGGGGGCGGAGGATGCCGAGGAAGACACGTAGGGAGCAGACGCGCACCAGGAGGGCGAACATCAGAGCAAAAGCGCACCAGCTTTCCGAGCTGAGCCCAGCCGTGGCGACGAGGGGCCAACCCGAAGGCCAACTGCCGCTGTCTCAACTCGCCGTCCTCCGAGTCCTGGCCCACGACGTCATGATTTGTCATAACCTCGACCCCAAGAAGTCTCGACCCACTCCCCGGGACCCAGTTTCATCCTGAGTCGTTTTTTGAAGGCCCAGAGGCCCAGTAAGAGCACCCAGATGCCGAAAATATTGAGAAAAACCTCTTACGAACAATTGCGAGGCCGAAACACTGCAAAAGTACGAAACTCCGCATTGATTCTTCCGATGCGTTGGAGGTCTAGTCCTGGCCCTCGTGGATCTCGTTCTGGTGAGCACTGCTAAAAAGTATCCTGGGAAATCATGATTCGGGGCGCGCTCCCGCCGCCCGCGTGCCGGATCGCCCAGCTGGCATGACAGGCCACCGGTGCACCTCTGAGGCCCCCGACCCCAGGGGCGCGGGGGGCGCCGTGGCAAAACTAGGACATGCTCTTGGAGGTCTGACGAGTCCTGGCCCTCGTGGAACTCGTTTCTCCGGCGCCCGCTCCGCTGGGCCGCCGCGGCCCCGCCGGCGCCGCCAGCCCGCGAGGGCCGCGACACGGTTTTCTCCTCTGCAGGGGACTTTTCAAAATCGCCATGGCTGGGGCGTCCATGCCCCGTGCCTTCTTCGACTTCGTGCGCGTGCCCGGGCCCCCATCGAGTCAAGGACACATCTTACGGGAGTTTTCTGTTTATCTTCGGGCGCTGGGGGCCCTCACCGGGCCTCGGGGCCGTGAGAGGAACGACTTGGGATGAAAAGCCGGTCCCAGGGAACGGGTCCAGACCCGCGGAGGTCCACGCGATGAAAAAAAACACAAAGCATGACGCGTCGGGAGTCTGGGCAAGGCTTACAAAATGATCCAAGGTGCCCCTCGGTGGCCACCGTCGGAAAAAAAAACACAATCAAAAAAAAAAAAAACGCACGCCCGAGCGATGCCAAGAGAGCGGAATACGAACACTGCGGAGAGGGCGGAAGCACCAAGAGCGGGGATCGCTGCGGGCAGGGGCCTGGGCCTGCTCGCGCCCTGAAGAACAAGGCAGGGCGCGGGGCCCTGGGCCGTTCGCGGCCTCCGGGGGCCCCCGCCGGGCCCCCGCCGACCGCCGACAAGACGACTCCAGACGAACAAGCGGCCCCTGGGGGAAGGATGGGGACGTCCGGGGACCATTGAAAAGCCCAAGCGTCGCAGGTCTGGGGGGGAAATCGCGCCAGAGCGGGCCTTCGAACAAAAAGGACACGGAACCCGCGCCCCGACCACCAAGAAGCCAGAGGCCATCTTAAAGCTCGGCGCGGCCCGACGACAGAACGACAACCCGAAGCCCAGAGCACGCAGCACGTGTGGTGTCCCAAACTCGGGTAGCGAGGCGACAGAAGCTTCTAGAAGCTCCTTGGAAGGAGCTCTGGAGACTGCGGGGAGGAGCTTCTGAAAAGGTTCAAGGCACACGTTAATCCAAAAGCTAGAACCATCTTGCCCCTCTGTGAGAAGAAGGGTTCCGTGGGGTAGAATTGAGGACCCCCTCTGTGAGACACGGGGTCGTCAGCTTGTTCTCCCTCCCTCAGTTTCCATCGTTCCCTCTCTCTTTGCGTCACTATCTCTGTTTCCTTCCTGCTTCACAATCGTCTTCGTCCTTCCTGCTTCACCATCATCTTCGCCGTCCTCCTTTTCATAATTTGTGTTTCCCTCTTCTCTTCCGCTCGCTGCTCATTATGTTTTTCGTCATGACTTTCTGCGTCTGTCATTGAATCTGCTGCTGATGGCGCGAAAGGATGGTGGTCCAGCTGTGGCGATCGGTGGAGCAACGGCTGGGGCGACCGCAGTCAGTGGGCAGCGAGGGGCTGGCAAGATTGGTCGCTCAGTGGAAGAGTGGAAGGTGGCAAGATTGGTCGCGGAGGCGCCTCCGCGCGCAACGCCCGCGCAGCGGCCAGATGCCAGGGCCACCGCAGCAGCGGGAGCCGCCGCAGGTCGAGGAACGCCAGCTGCGCTAGGGATTCCCGCAGCAGCGGGAGCGGTGGGCTCGCCGCAGGTCGAGGAACGCCAGCCGCGCCAGGGATTCCCACAGCCGCGGGAGCGGTGGGCGTAGGTCGGGCGTGTACCCCTGCAGGCGGATTTTGGACGAGCAAAAAAAATACCCACAAAATTCTCAAGAATATTCAAAAATGGATACACATCGCCCCCATATTTTGTTTTGAACGCTCCTCATGTAGAGGGACATGCCCGACTTGCCAGTGGGCGCAAGAGAAACGCGACGGCCGGGAGGGAAGCTGCTGGTGGGGATGGCGCGACGGTTGGGAGGGAAGCCGCCGGGGCAACGAGGGCGCGCAGAAAGAGGCAGCGGCGACGCCCAACGGCGAAACGGCGACTGGAGGCCCCGCGACAGCGGGGCAAGGCAGCGCCGCTTCATCGAAGGAAGGCGGCACCGGACGACAGCGCAGTCACAACCGCCTTTGACCCGTACGCGTCCCGCCTGCGGCTGTACCACCCAGACAACTCCGAGAACCCCGCCAAGGAGCGGTGGGAATGGGCTATGACGGCAAGTTGGGCGTGACGTGCTCAGGATGAAAACCAAAACCCGCGGTGGGAATTGGACTGATGAAGAGTGCACAGTGCTGCACAGCTGGCGACCCTCCGCAGCAGCGGAGGGATGCCTCGCCAAGTCAGTGTGAGCGGCGGAGGGCTCGGAATAAGCGCTCGGTCTCGCGCGCGGTTTCGCGCGTCGTGTGCGGCGCCGCATGCGGTAGAAGACATCAATGCTGCCATCTGTGCTGTCGTTTTCGTCCTCCCGCTTTGCTTTGCTTCCCCTCGCGCCACCTCCCCCCAATCCCCTGCCCGCCATCATTTACTCTTCTTGCCCATCGCATCCAGTCACGCAACTCACAGACCGACCCCTTCTCTCACAGAGGGGGTGGGAGAGGAACCCCTTCTCTCACAGAGGGGGGGGCGAATGCATCAATGGTTCTGCTAACCCGCCTCGTGGACAATCGGGAAACACGGATACACGGCCTTCCGGAACATGCTTCCGGCTCACAGGAGGCGCTGCGAGGTGTCCTGCAGGAAGCCGGAACGAGCTCTGGGGCAACCCTTGCCTGCAAGCTCCCGAGCTGAACAAAAAACTCAGCTTTCCAAAAGCTATCTGGGAACAACCGGGCCCAGCGGCCCGCAGAGGGGTGCCTGGCCTCCCCGTCGCCTTTCGGAAGTCCGCGCTGACTTTTTGGATCTGCGCGGTGCCCTGCTCCCCGGCGCGCGGACGCGCCGCCGGGAGGCTCCAAGGCCGATCCACGGAAATCCGCGCGGAGCTCCACACGTCCCAGACCCCCGACGGCATGGTGGTGTCGCTGCCCCCTGCTCCTGGGCCAGGGGGGATCCGGGGTCGCCGCGCGGTTTTGGGGCCCCGGCCCTTCTCCAAGGACGCCTTGGGCGACTGCGGCCTCCAGTGCCCCGAGCCCCCGCCCCCCGACGTCATGGCTTCTGCCACAGCATCGACGCTCAGAGGTCTCGACCCCTCTCCCAGGGACTGGTTTCGGGAAAGGTCCGGGACGTGTTGTCACGGCCCCGGGGCGAGGGAAGGGCCCCCAGTGGCCGCACCCGGCGAGAAAAGCCTCCCGTCGTGATGCTGCTTTCCTGGCTCGAGGGGGGTCTGGAATTGAGGTCCGTGCCGCTCTGTCTCTTCTGTTGTGCAGGGGCCGACCGTCCCGGCACACGCATAGGCCTACCACGAAATTCTCCCAGATCCCGAATTCAAACAGTCGAAAGACACAACAATGTCCCTAGAACATGGACCCGACGTACTCAAGCAAGACAGCCTCAGCCAGGAATGATCCGAGGACACGCCGTGCAGACCACAGAAGCTTCTCAGAACATGCTGCGGTGGGCCCATCGGCAGGCCGGGACGCTTCGCCCCTGCCCCGCTCTTCGACAGCACCCTCTCCTCGTGGCCCTCCAGCTCCTGCCGCAGCTGCGGCGCCCACGGCAGGCCCGGGCCCGGCAGCTCCCTCTCGCGGTAGTGCGGCTGCGCCGCGCGCGGGCCGGAGCCCCGCCGGCGCACCGCGGCGTTCGCCGCGGCCATTCTGCTGGCGGCGATGTTCGCCGCGGCGCCGGCGCTCGCGACGGCGAAGTCGCTGTTGTCCGCGCCCTGGGCGGGCTGCTGCGAGGAGCTCGCCGTGCCTCCTCCGAGGCCTCGACGGCATGCTCATGCCGGGGAGTGCCAAGGGTGCCCCTGGCCCAAGGTGCCCCCAGCTTTTCGCTCCATTCTGGAGCGCCTGGGGCCCCCTGGGCCTCGTGAGGGCTGCTCTGCAGGCGGAGGGGGCCTCCGTAGATATCCTGGTGGCACCTCGGGCCAGGGGCCCTTCTGGCAACACCCAATCACGTATAGCATCCATCGCCGCATCTCGAGCCGATGTCCCAGGATGCATGCAGGAGGCAGTGGCTGTGGACACCTGTGCAGTCCAAGACCCAGACAGCAGGACAGCTCCGCGCGCGGACGCGCCCTTGCGCGCACCAGCGCGGACGGGCGCGCGCGGACGGGCGCGGGCGGGCGCGCGCGCAGGCGGGTGCGGGCGGGCGTGCACGGGCGGGCGTGCACGGGCGGGCGCGCGCGGGCGCGCGCGCGCGGATGTCCCAGGACCCTGCAGGGAACAGTGGCTGCGGATACAGTCGGACCTAGGCCAGAAGAACGTCCATCAAGAGCACGAGACACTCCGCCGGCCGGAGCACACAGGACATCCGAGGGTACCCTCCCCAGGATGCACAAGAACATCCAAGAAGCACGAAGAACACTTGGGCACCCTCCCCGAACCGACCTCGATCTGATGCCTCGGTCCGGCTGTGTCTCTGGCCCCCTCCGCCTCTGCCCCTCGAGGCGCAGGACCGGCTGATCCTCTGCCTCCCGGGGCCCCATGGGACAGCGGTTCGCAGTGCGGCGGACACGCACACATTCTTGACGTCGGGCCTGTCGGGCCTTCGCTGCGCGTGTGTAGGGCTGCGGCCACGCGGTGCTTCTGCACGGCCCTTCTCAAGGCCTCGGTGTCCGCGGCGGCCTCCCTGTCCGCCCTGGCCGGGGCGAAGATAGCAGATAACCACCCTTCGTCCTCAACGGCTGCCTCGTCTTCGAAGCGTTGTCCACCTATCGTCAGCTCGGTGATCCGGATGGTGTCTTCGGTGATGGTAGCAATCCCCGGCAACCGATGGACCTCTTGGACAATATCATGTCTAAGCGCGTCAACATGGGAGGAAAGCTGGTCTACCACCACATAAAAAGCGACCCCCTTGGGTAAGTCGATGGTAGCTGCTACCCTGGCGCCTTTTAGATTAACGGTCACGTTGCGGGCGCCGACACCGTTCTCCGCGTGCGTGATGATGGCCCGCTTGACTCCCTTCTCAAACTCTTCCCGCATGGGCTTGCTTGCCAGGAGCTGGTCGTACGAAATGCCATCCACTATCAGCGACACTGCCACCTTTGAGTCCGCCTCGGACTTCTGCCGTTGCTCCTCTTCCGCCCTTTTCCGCTGCTCCTCCTCCTCCGCTTTCTTGCGCTGCTCCTCATCCGCCTTCTCGGCCGCCCCTTTGTCCTGGCCCGCCGCCCCGAAGAACGCCGCCAGCCCAAGCCCGAGGGCGCCCAGGTCCACGAAGTCCTCCTCGCCGCCGCCGCCGCCGCCGCCGCCCGCCTTCGCCCCGGCCTTCGCCTTGCGCTTCGCTCTCGCCTTCCTCTTCGGCTGCACATCCTGTGGCTCCGGCTCGCCGGAGCCGAACAGGCCGCCGAAGAACCCCAGATCCTGTTGCGGACGCCCGAAATGGGTAAGGACAAACTTGGCACAATGCCGACCGACAAACGTTGTCCAAAACCGACAGCTGCCGCTGCTCGGCAGGTAGCCTTGTGTCTGAAACTGGCGACGTCCGCGGCGACGCCCATAGCCAGATCGAACTGCTGTTGGTCTTTGTACCCATTCTTTCCGCACGCTCCCAGACCGCAGAGGTCTCGACCCATTCCTTGGAGTGGTTTTCTCGTCCCGAATCGTTTTTGACGGCCCCGAAGACCGGTAGGAGCCCCCACAAGCCGAAGACTACGAAAACATCCGCGCTGAATTCTCCAATGCAAGGTTGGAGGTCAGGGTGTAATTTCTTGAGCAAGGACCGGCCGTCCTGGCATGCTGTAGTCCTACCACGAAATTTCTTGAGAACCAACAAACGCTCTTGAGAACCAACAAGTGTTCCCCAAACAGTGTTTGCACTTAGGGGTTCTTCCTTGGATTAACCAGCTCGGGGTGACTGGTTGCTTTTGTGGGCGGTGCCGCCCGTCGTCGCCGTCGCCGTCACCGTCGCCGTCGCCACCGCTCGGGGCGAGTGGCGGCTTTTGCGGGCGGCGCCGCCCGTCGCCACCATCGCCGTCGCCGTCGCCGTCACCGCCGCTCAGGGCGGGTGGCGGCTTTTGTGGGCGGTGCCGCCCGTCGCCGCCGTCGCCGTCGCCGTCGCCGCCGTGGCCGTCGCATAGAGTCTCCTTTCTGAGAAGGACATAGGTTCTACCACCCTCCCCCCTGGAGTTGAAGACCCCCTTTTTTTCGCATTACAACTTACATACGATTCCGACCCAATGTCCATCCGACCTGTGAATTCATACTATCCCAGCCAAGCTAATATCGCCCCTCCTCGCCATCCTTTACAGAAATAAATGCGCGCGCGCTCGTTTATCAACTATCCTAAATTTCCAAAAATCCCTCGCAACAGAAAAACGGGACGAAACGCACACGCGCGCGTCGTCGCGCACACACCGAAATCCTGCACATAAAAACCGTCGGTGTCAGAAGGATTTCAAAATCGGCTGTCCAAAACACATATGAAACGCAGGGTTTCGCAACAAGGATTCTCAAAGAAAGCATGCGCGCTCTTGCGAATTCTTCAGGAAGCCATCGGTGTTTCAGCATTGTGAGAAAATGCTACCAAACGGGCTTCGCGCGCGCGTGTCGAAATCGTTCGAACGCCCTTGCGCGTATGCTGGGGTGGCACGGTCCGTGATAATTCCATGCGGGTCACTCGCGCGCGTCTTCCGCGCGCGCAGTTCGAATTCCTGTCAAGACCGTCATCACCGACGCGAGGACGCCGTCATCGTCGTTGGCGTGATCAGCATCGGCGCGTTACTGGCTGCCCTGTCGTAGCTGTCAGCATCGTCGCCAGCATCGCTACTATCATCATCGCGTCTACCGTTGTCGACGTTGCCATGAAACCGCGCCCGCCGAAGGCGCCGACTCGCACTGAAGTGCCCGCTGGGATGTGCCGAGCGGTCAGCGCCACCGCTTTCGCGTCGGTCGCGCCAAACTAGCTGGCCGCTGCGCGCGCAAGCATGCGCGGGCTAGCGCGACCCCAGAGGTGCACCAGCCAAGACCAAGCACTCATCGCAATCGCTTGCGCATGGGGTTTGCGAACCAAGTTGCAGGTCTGAGCGTTGACTCTACCCCCCCCCCGGCGTTATCGGTACCCCTTTCGGGTGTGTAAATCACATACGATTCTGACCACATGTCCATCCAAAATATGAAATCACAATGCCCCAGGCCAGCCGGTATCCCCCCCTGAGGTTCCCTTGTGAAAAACGCTACGCAGTGACATTTTTTGTTCTAACATAGCACTGTTTCATGAATCCCTGGCCAAACATGGGGCGAAGTGCACACGCGCGCGTCATCGCGCGCGCATGCCAAAATCCTTCAATAACCTTCGGTGCCGGAAGGATTTCGCAATCGAGTTTCCGAACAAACCTACAAAAACACAGGGTTTCGTAACACGGATTTGCTAAAAAAGCTTCCGCGCGAGCTCTTGCGAAATCTTAAGAAAACCACAGGTTTCCCACAACGTGCTATTAAATGGGCTTCGCGCGCGCGCGCATGTCGAAAACTGTCGAACGCCCTTGCGCGTGTGCCGCCGCGAGAATCCTCTGCAACAAATGGGACGAAGTGCAGACGCGCGCGTCGTCGCGCGCGCATGCCGAAATCCTTCCAAACCCGTCGGTTTCGGAAGGATTTCGAAATCGTGTGTCCAAAAACATACAAAAACACAAGGTTTCGCAACACGGATTTTCAACAAAAAAGTGCGCGCGCGCTCTTGCGTCGTCGTCGTCGTCGTCGTCGTCGCCGTCCTCCCTCCTCCCGCGTCGTCGTCGTCGTCGCCTACGTCGTCCTCTGTCTTTCCTCGTGTTCGTCGTCGTCGTCCTCGTTGGCGTCGTGGTCGTTTCCGTCGTCGCTGTCGCCGTGGTCGTCCTTCCTCCTCCTCCCTCGTCGTCGTCGTCGTCCGTCGTCGGCGTGTCGTAGTCGTCCGTCCTATTTCGTCGCCGCCTGCGTCGTCGTCGTCGTCGTTGTCGTCGTCATCGTCTTCCTTCCTCCCTCGTCGTTGTCGTCGTCGGCGTCGCCGTCCTTCCTCCTTCTTCGTAGTTCGCGTCGTCGCCGTCCTCCCTCCTCCCTCGTCGTTGTCGTCGTTGTCGTCGTTGTCGCTGTCGTCGTCCTCCCTCCTCCCCCGTCGTCGTCTTCGTTAACGACGTCGTTGTCGTCGTCTTCGTCGTCGTTGTCTTCGTCGTCGTCGTCGGCGTCGTCGTCGTGGGCGTCGTCGTCGTTGTTGTCATCGTCGTCGTCGTCGGTGTCGTCGTCGTCGTGGTCGCTGTCGTCGTCGAAGTCGTTGGAGACGTCGTCGGTGTCGTCGTCGTCGTCGGTGTCGGCGGCGCCGTCGTCGTCGTTGTCGCTGTCGTCGTCGGCGTCGGTGTCGAGGCCAAGTGCCATCTGGTACCTACCGTCACGGTCTTGTCCTAAGAGGTCTTGCGACCAAGTTGCGGGTGGGAGGGTGGGATGTTTGCACGAGCATAGGAGAGGACAGCTTCAAGATGGTCAAAGTGAATTCTCCTTTCTCAAAACAAAATAAGATCTACCCCCCCACGGCGTTACCGGCCCCCCTTTCGGATATGTAAATCATATATGATTCTGACCACATGTCCACCCGAAATATGAACTCATGCTATCCCAGGCCAGCCGGTATCCCCCCCGGAGGTTCCCTTGTAAAAAAAAACACTATGCGGTGACATTTGTTGTTCTAACA